CGGTTGATAAACAAACACAATCGTAAAAATGAGGACGTAGCCATTGGGCGCAACAGACTAAAATCTTGCAACATTTTTTAAATCCCATTTTTTTTATTTTATAGAAACTGTGGCAAAAACTGGCATGATTCTGCTCTGCGGTGAAATTACATCAAAAGCCGTGGTCGATTACCAAAAGGTGGTGCGTGAAACGGTTCAGCACATTGGTTATGACGACTCCTCGAAGGGTAAGTGTTAGAGTTAGAGTAAAATATGAGAATTTTTCTCTCGTGGGTGGGCGGCAGAAACAGCGTAAAGCATTGTTTCCCTATTGACGTGTACATTGGTATATATAATATATTTCAACAACAAATCAAATGTCAAAAAAATCAACTCAAAATAAAAAGGTTTCGATTGGAAGACGCTAAATCTGCTCGTTGCCATTGAACAACAGTCGCCCGATATTGCCAACGGCGTACACATCAATCGCGAAGAAGAGGATGTCGGCGCTGGTGATCAGGTATACCAACATAAACCTGTACCCTTATTAAAGATTAAGCGAAGCCGAAGAGTGTGCGTTTCTGTGTTATGTTCACATTTCGTTTAATGTTATTATAAACTGTATGTTTCCACTCATATGTGCTCTGCTCACCCGAAACTCATTATCTCTTTACTTTTCCTATGGGTATTACATTAAGAGTTTCCTATATTTAAAAGTCGATAAATCAGAATACCTTCCCAATTTTGAATAAATTAATTGGAAGTCTTAAAAGTTGTATAGAATCAAATAATTATCTTATATCCATATACATACCTAGATAACCTGTGATAGACTTGCCATATTTTTCATAAGGAAAGGCAGGTCTCAACACGTTAAGCTTAAAATGGACTGAAATCATATTTTACATATACATTCAAAGCAGTTATCCGAGGATTCTAACTTCATAAATGCTCATTTTAATATATATCCGTTCACGGTATTCCAATAAATAGGTATTCGATAAGCCACTGAGGGAAGAACCATCTCTATAAGCAAACTTGCATGCGCTTTAATAAATTAGTCCTTGGTAAACTCTAAACAGGAGAGAGTGAAACACTTGCGATTTCAACTCGAATTTCAGCGTACCGACGTGATTCCCAGCAGAAAGACCTTGTGTTTGTCTACATACATTTGTGCACATGCATTTTACACTAAAAAGAATTTGTTCTTTTAAGGGGTTATATCATAACTAACATTACTTACCATTACTTATGTAATTTCAATTGCGCTGCGCTCTCTACTTTTTATCTCTTTCGTTTCATATAAATAAAAACAAAAAACAAAAACAAAAACACGCTACATTTACCATATGATACCTTGAAAACCAATTCGCAATTTACCAAAAAAAGGTTTCGATTATAAGACATGCAACGTTCTCTTGGCATTGGACCAACAATCTCCTGAAATCGCTGCTGGTGTGCATGTAAATCGCCTCGAGGAAGAAATTGGTGCTGGAGACCAGGTGTGAACTAAAAATTCAAGTACAAATATACATGCCTCGGCATGCCGAGCCAATATACACTTTCCAATGACACGACTTGACCCGGAATAAGTTTGGAAAGTGTGTATAGGTCACATATGTACCTGTGTAGAATATGTACCTTATGCCTACTACTATAAAAGAGATGTATTTATTAAGCTGCATTGCTAAAATTTGTTTTTATATGCAAATTCGACTAAAAGTTCACACACATATTTTTAAACAAATTAAATTAACATCTGGAATTGACAAAAGAATTAACTTTCTCATGTGCCATTATTAACATTTTAATACATTTCGTTTGGTTTGGTTTGGTTTCACATTTTTCGCATAATCGATCCCAAGTCATTTTCATGTCGACTCTTGCATTACCTGTTGCTTATTAACTGTAAATTGAAAATATAAAAACGTTTGCCAATTTGCTTTTAATGTACTAATTTGATTGTTTGTTACTTTCGCTTGAGACGTGAAGCATTTACACTGCTTACTTATCTGATATTTCAACCAATTACAGGGTATTATGTTTGGCTACGCCACCGATGAAACAGAGGAGTGTATGCCCCTGACGGTCGTGCTGGCACACAAATTGAACGAAAAAATTGCCGAACTGCGTCGCTCGGAAGTCTTTTGGTGGGCCCGTCCGGATTCTAAGACACAAGTCACCTGCGAATATCTCTTCAATCAGGGCTCGGCTGTGCCTAAACGTGTGCATACTATTGTTGTATCCATGCAGCATTCGGACAAAATACAGTTGGACACTCTTCGCTCGGAAATAATGGAGAAAGTTGTTAAAGTTGTCATACCCGCCAAATATTTTGATGCCAACACCATTGTGCACATAAATCCCTGTGGATTGTTTGTCATTGGCGGTCCCATGGGCGATGCTGGTTTGACCGGCCGAAAAATTATTGTCGATACATATGGTGGTTGGGGCGCCCATGGAGGTGGTGCATTTTCTGGAAAGGATTTCACCAAGGTCGACAGATCGGCAGCGTATGCAGCACGCTGGGTAGCAAAATCTCTGGTCAAGGCGGGTCTCTGCAAGCGTTGCTTGGTGCAGGTGTCCTATGCTATTGGCTTGGCTGAACCACTTTCCATAACCGTATTTGACTACGGCACTTCACACAAGTCACAAAAGGAGCTTCTAGAAATTATAAAACGTAACTTTGATCTACGACCAGGCATGATTGTCAAGTAAGTGATAAATAGAGTTATATCAATTTGGTTACCAATAATTTACTCTATTTTTTGTTTTCTAATATGCAGAGATCTGAATCTGCGCCAGCCGATTTACCAGCGCACCAGCACTTATGGCCACTTTGGTCGCGACGGATTCTCGTGGGAGCAGGCAAAGCATTTGGAGATCAATTGACTAGATGCCGACACACCGTTACCGCAATCGCCGTGTGCTAAAAAGCAAAGGATACTAAAAGAAACAACAGCAACGTAATTTTTAGTTTTTAGTTAAAATCGTAAGTGATGCTGGCAATAGGCTTGGCAGCTTTTAGACTTTCATTTCTAATCTATAATATACCCCATTATTGTTCATACGCAATGTGTGTATGCAGCCATTTGTACTACAATTTAGTTGTATGGATCATATTTGCATATATATATGTACTAACTGTCACTAGAGGGAGCTCAACAACCAATTCAGGGCTGCTTTTTTAATTTGATCAATTTGTAACCTGCCACATACGACTGTTTACTTTTCCGTTTTTAAAATTGTATAAAAATTAATTATATAAATAGTAATTTTATTAATGTTTTGAATATTTAAGTACTCTGTGCCCCTGAGGGTTATTCAGTTCATATATATGGTGCTATTGGCGCTTACATGTAGTAAGGGTTATCGGTTCTATAGAATGCTGAACTCGATCTTGCCAAGTTAGTGTTATAATGGATGGTTCAGACCTGGGTATAGGGTATTTTATAAGTCGAGTACTCCCGACTGCAATATTCTTAATTGTTTATAAATTACTATGTCGTCGCTTGTCGATGTTGGTATTTCATCAAATTTTTAAACAACCTAATTGTACATTACTTAGACTTATCAAGTTTTGTATTTGCGGTATTTTCCTTTACAAAAATATATTTTTAAAATACAAATATCAAATTTTAAATTGTTTTCATTCATTTACATACTGGTACTATCTGTAGTTGAAGCAACAAAAAATAATTTGTTTTTTTTTTTGTTTTAATTAAACCAAATTAAATACAAATTGAAGTGCCAATAACAGAAGCTTAGACTATAGCTGACAAACTTCTGCTTGGCTGTGTGCTAACATGCCCTTCAGGGCAACAATATAATAAATATTGTATTTAAGGATTTTATTTAAGATATGCTACAAGATAGGTGTTACTTAACACAATTTATTGAGTATGTGTGCCAATGATGTAAAATATATGGCTGACAACAGTTGAGTGACATAGCAAAGAGCTATGTGACAAGCTAAAAGTTAACAGAATTTATTGGGTATATATGCCAATGATGTAATGTAGCTGACAACACTTGAGTGACACAGCAAAGAGCTATGTGACAAGCTTAAAGTTGTATCGCTAGTCATTGCGTACAGTGTTGTGAAACCAAAAATATTTCAAATGAGCGCTTTAAATGAGATCCCCCATGGTTAGACAGAATAACGATCACTGTAACAGCATTAATTTGTTATTGTTTTGTGCCAGTGTGAACATTTAAAAAGGTGTAAATATTTATCATCCAAAGAGGGTCGCAAAAAAAGAGTCTGATTGCGAAATTAAACCCACTCTAGAAACGAACAAAACAACAGCCGCAAAACCTGAACAAGCTCAAACAGCCAACTGTCAAGTTAGTAATGCTACCCCAAAATATTATCATTCACGCTACACATGATGAAGCTTGACAATCTCAGCAGCAAATAAGAAGTCGTTCACTGTAACTGTAAGTGCAAACTAAAATGCATAACACTATTCTAGCCCTAAAAAACTAAAGATAATCACATGATAATATGGACAATTCACCATAATTTTCCTAATATCTGAAACTTACCTAACAGGCAAATTACCCTGCTAAAAGAATAAATGGATATGCTGCACATTTAATCAAGCAGAAAATACGTAAAATTTTCTGAAAATATTTGACTTAAACTCCAAGAAGTATTGCTTAGGTAATGCCACATCCTGTAAAAGGGGGAATACATTAATAAATGTTGTGCATCAACCAATTAAAATTATGATGTATTAGCAATAGGCTTTCCACCTCACTTTCCTTACAATACACGTCAGGCTCCGCCTGAGAGTGATCTCGCCATCTATAAAGGAATAAGACGCGATTTAATACATATCAAAGATGCTGGTGATTTAGGATCAGACTACCTGCCTCAATATTCGATGCCAACTTGGTGTAAACCTCATCCGGGGGCCATCCCTGGAGTGCCGCGGTACGTCAGCAACCATACAATACTAATATTTATTACAATAAGTGCAAAAGCAACACATTTAAAGTTTACAAACAGTGTTCATTCTTCGTTATTTTATACAATGATAGTTATCTTTGACTAAAATATCACTTAGTTTATTTGAATATCAGCTTATTCCAGCTTATTTACTTATAGGGTTGGTAACACAAGTGTATAACTGTAAAAAGGGGAATGTGATGCTTATCCGCTTTAAACATTACTCGGCCTTGGCGGGAAGTTTTAAAGAGGTTACCACTTGGGACGCGTAAAACTTATCACAAGGTCTTATATATTACGTTATTTATACGACTACTTAATTGCTATTCACAAAGAAACATGTTCATACATTATTGCAATTGTAATTTTTTCCCGAAATAAATTTTTAATATTTATATGAAGTGAAATTGAAATATTTTGTCAGCATGTGGAATACAAAGGTTACAATCGGATTTGCTACCGATTGTTTTAGCCGATGACGTAGCATCAGATATGCAGCAACTGTGAACGCAATGTAGAAGCCAAATAAACAGCTGACGGACCACAAATAGCTTATGTTCTCAAATCCAAGGAACACCAATAAAAACTGTGACTTCTTAAACATGCAGAAGATTTCTGTATCACAAATCGTATCGCCTCTACCATAGTCATATAAGGCAGCCACTAGACCCTCCAGGCCGTGGCGTAGGAAGCTGAGCGACATCAGAAACCGCATAATTGGCGAGATGTATGTATCCTTCCCGTAGCCCATGCCGTAAATAGAAAGCAGAATTAGGGGAACGGCAACAACTGGTCCCATGAACATGCCATTCTAGTAATAATAGTTATATAGTAAGTAATATATGTGTTGAATTTGATACTCCCAGTACTTACCACCAAGCTAAGCCTGCTGGATATCATGAGGCCAAAGCTGTCTGAGGTTAAGGCCGTTAGAAAAGCTACAGTGAACAGCATGGCGAAGCGGAACCATTCCAGGGGCTGGCTTGACATTAAGTACACAATTGACAGGTATATGACGGCGAGCACAAACATTAAGGGAAGTTTCGCAGAGATCATTGCGGCGTAGTAAGAGCTCAGTCGGTACCACTGATTGAAATATTCGCGTTTCAGGAGCTTGATCTCTGTGGGAACTGCAATCGTAAAAGGCCAAAGGATTATTTGTTATATTTTACAGGTGAAAAGTATGTGGATTTACATTGCAAGAGCACTGGCATCATGGGTAGATATAGGTAAGCTATGACAATGGTGAACATAAAGCCAAAATTAAATAGGGCTTTCGAAGCCTGTCGTCCCACTCCTTCATAGAGGCAGCCGACAAGCAACGCAAGAATTAAGTTCATATAAAATTTCAGCTTGATGTAGGACTGTAAGATAAAGTATTTCCATTAGTTATATCATACATCATGTATCTCAAGACTGGCGCACTTGCCTTGTCCCTCCACATTTGGAGGAGCATACGTGTGAGGAGCAATTTATACTGCATCCACCAGGTGGACTTGGAAATTAATAATTTCGGGTTGATTTCCTCCTCGAACTGTTCGACCTCGTAGTATGAGGATGCACCGGATGTCGTATCCGATTTGGTTGGAGTTTCCTTGCCGTTACCAGTAGATGGACCCCATCGTGCGACCCTTCCATTGTTCACGGCCGTCACCATGCGCTCGTGGTAGCTGTTGCCGTACTCATTGCACGCCACTTCGATTATGAAGTCAGCTGGGTTGTATGTGAGCGGGCAAGATAGGCCGATGTGATTCATATAAGGCACAATGTTCGCTCCGCTTCCCTGGTAAATGCACTGACCCTCAGCGAGCACGTACACCTTGTCAATCATATCGAAAATCTTGGCAGACGGCGTATGGATGGAGCAGATGACAGTGCGACCGCCGTTTGCCAACATTTTCAGAAGCGAAATGCATTGTGAGCTTGATAGATCGTCCAGTCCGCTGCAGGAGTAAATATATGATAAGACTTCTCCAAAACCTTATTTAATTAACTTAACTCACGTTGTTGGCTCGTCCAAGAAAATAATAGGTGGATTGTTAACCAGTTCCAGCGCAATTGAAAGCCGTTTGCGCTCTCCGCCTGAAATCTTTTCTGCCTTTGTGTTCTGTGCACTTGTTAAGCGGAGCATGCCCAAGATTTCTTCGATCTATATGCAAATGGAATACGTGTAGCTGAGTCAGTTGAGATATTGTCATTCCGCTTACCACTTCAAGCTTTTGGGCCAACTTTAATTCATTGCCCAGTTTCAAGTTTGCCGCTAAGAGCATCAGCTCTCTCACAGTGAACTGTAGGTCGAGAATATCTGTCTGCGTATTATTCAATAAAATTGTCACATTCTTTTGCAATATTTGATTAGATGGAAATACCTGCATAATGTAGCGAGACATCTTGCGAAAGATTCGCATGTTCCGCGGACTGTTGTTGACCAGGATCTCGCCAGATGAAACAACGGCACTGCGGATAGATAGATAGACAGAATAAGTCACTTTTGTTTGATTGATATTATAGATTTACTTACCCAAATCCTGCCAGTAAATTCAGAAGGGTTGTCTTTCCTGCTCCAGAGGGTCCCATGATCGCGGTTAGCTCGTGAGATCGGAACTCTCCATTTACGTCACGTAAAATTTGTTTTGCCTTTTGGGCTTGATGAAATAAATTAATGTACATAAGTTTAAATAAATTAAAAATGTATATAACATTTAATAGAAACCGAACTGTATATGTATTATGATATAAGGTTAAATTTATTAAAAACAAGTAATAGTGTTCTAATGGGGCTCGATTATGCGATACCCTGTACCAAAATTCTAATCAAGACTATATATATTTTTTATGGGGTCGGCCTTTTTGTCTACCAATAATTTGGTGTGGTATATATAGAACGGGAATTATTAGCCAGTGATTTGTGGTAAGTCTTACCATTTCCCTGATCAGGCACTTCGTACGTTAGTCCAGAGAACTCTATGTTTACCGCTGGCCAGAGAGGTAAGTACTTCAGTCCATTAATTGATGGATTGTCTTCAACGTCAGCCAGTTCCACGCTAATAGCGTTTATATCGCTGCTGTAGTCGAGCGAGCTGCCGCTTTGGGAGCAGTTGACTCCCTTCAGGTGATGATTGCACTGCATTCTGCGTTTTTATCGGAGATCGGAGAAGGGCATCTTCAGCTCAGTTTGGCTTGCTGTATAAAACAGAAGTAACGAAAATTAAAAACTACTGAAATACTTTATAGAAATAGTTAAGAGCTCAACAATTTGTGATTTACTTTATAGACGGGTTGTCAATGTGAAATGGAATTCGTGAGATAACCTTTGCGTGATTTCTAATCATCTTATTTTTGCAATCACGTATAGATACGTGAATGAGTATGTGTATTAGTTAATAATTATCCTATTGTCGAAACAACAGCCCATTTACTTAGGCGTGTGTGTCTCATCCGTTCCCGCTCACAATAGCTAGATGTGTTTTACCAGCCGTTTAAATTGTCGAAACTCTATAATTACTGTTCATCTACAGCGTCAAGCATCAGCTACTTATTAACAAATCCTGTTTCTATATACATACACATTCGTTTTTGTATAATTTAAATAATTAAGATAAATCGTTATCTTCTGGTTTTTTCTAATTCTTTGCAACGATCTTTCTTCGCGCATTATTATATCTAGTATATGAGTAATTTGTATAACTTCGAGTATGATTCAGCCGTTCCCTAATGCTCAGCCTGCACTGACGACCCCAGAGAATTGCTTTTATGTTCAGCCTCAATTAAACATACGAATGGTTATCATTTCGCTCGATCGGACACAATGGCGCGTTCTATATACAAATTTTACACTGAACTCAGTTCGTCGAAAACGAATTTCGCTTCTCAGTTCGTTTCGAGAAGCAAGTTGAGATTTCCAATTGATTTCAGAGTAGTTTGCGTCGAACCTACGAGCGGACACAACTACCTCTGATAATTACGAAGAGCAAGAACCCGGCTTGAAACTTTCTACTGCGTAACCCAATCGCTATATGCACGCTTTTAGCACGTTGCGCTGTACGAGCTTGAGATAAGCATGTAGGAGTCGCATCAGTGTTATCAGACTACATATATCTGAAGCGGAAATAGTGCTCAGATCCGTGACACCAGCTGGCACCAAAGACTGCGAATTTGTCGGGTGCACAGAGCGAGAAATCTGTTAAGCACGATATGTAGGTCTATTACACGGCTTTATCGCTGCGTTCAAAGCTGTAAATATTGATAACACTTTAATTGATATGTACTTAACCCAAATGAAGCAATGATTTTGGCTGTTGCTACTTAATTTCAATTGAAGCCCTTTTGGCGACTGTCCAAATATATATAGTACATTTGTATGTGCATATATAAATCGATTCGATTTAAATACGTGTTCAATCCATTTTCCTCTTACATGCATATTCAAGTCGCTTATAAGGGAATTGTACATTGCTATTATTATTATTATTGTTATTATTTTTTCCCCATAATCCAATTGTGACTAATGGAGCATGGCAATGCACTGAACCGTCGCATGTTGAACTTTGAATGTATCAACTACATATTCACTTACATATTGATGTATGTTTAGTCATTAAACGATATCAGTCTGAGTCAGTTGTCAGGCACACACTCGATTCACATTGGAGAATTGCAATTCCATAGGATTCTTAAAAACATCTTATCTGCTTACCGGCAGCTGCGGCTGCAATTCTGTATTGTTTATACACGCTTGCACGCCTTTAAAATATATATGTAGATACATATGTATATATAGTACATGCATGAATGTACTACAAGTGAGTTGATTTATACAGTTGCAGACATCGACGTCGACTGGCAAGTTCATTGAACGGATTTCAAATACTATGAACCCGTGAACACTATTTACATAGATATTACAAAGTTCATCGAGGCAGTCTTGGGGCTGCACTACACTTACTTCACTTTCTATTTGGGAGTGTATTTGTTATTGTGGCGCGGCTATCCAGTCTCCTCAGTCTCTTTGCGACAGCAGCGTAGCGGGCGTGCAACAGCAACAACGACGACAATGACGACTTGTTGCACCGAGAAGCGAAAATGTACTGAAAACGAACGAAGGAAGAATGATAGAGTGGCGGCTGGCAGGCAGGCACATACTCACTCACTCACTCGCACACACACACACATAGACAGCCATACAAGTGTGTGGGTATTGTGTATGCATACAAAAGCGTGTTGCGCACTCAATCCGAGTGGAAAGCACGAAACGCTACAAAGTGGGCAGCGAACAAAGAAAAACGGAAAAGAATTCTTCTAGGGGGAGACAAGAACCTTCTGAATACTATTCCATTTGGACGTACAGTCTATTTATAGCTCGATAGCTTGTATAGTCCGGTATCAGAATTTTAATGCATAGTAAAAAAGGACTTATTAACAGTGCTAAAAGCCCCAATTAGCATAATTTCATTATCATCCTAATAATTACATTTTCCTTGTTCTTTTCTTTTCCTCAACCGAGAATATCTTTGCGTTGTGCGACCTACCACAATACGTTTTGCATTTTGCAGTAGTCAGTTTTTTGTTGTTGAAAGTTGTAAGTGTTACGCTTTGCAATACCCTGTAAAAAGAACATTTCCATCTATATCTTTTGATATGACAGAAAACTACTTAGAACTAAAAATATTTTCGAATTACATTTTATAACTGTCTCAGAGCTTGGAGTAAAATATTAAGTTGAACCCAAACATATTTCTCATATTTGAATTTCAGTGTGTACGAAGACATAGAGTATCTTAAAGTTGTCTAGTTAGGCTTACAAATGCATTCTGGTCCCCTCTGTTGCTGTCGGCTCATCTCGATATCTGCTTTGTTTGGCAATATCCATAAAGTGGTTGCCAAGCAACTCAGAAACGTAGGAGAAATTAACGAGAATATATTTATGTATGTGTCCAGAGATATTAACAGTCTGTACACTCCCAGTTTTAAGACCTTTTGTATAGTGATTTCTTAACAATCTCGTAAGCAAACTTCAGCTTATAGATATTCAAACAGTATGTGAAACCATTTTTATACAAATTGCAAAACCGATATCCAGCATACGTACTAGTTGAGAAGTGACCGACAACAACAACCAGTCACAACAATGCTGCATGGTTTCTATACGAATAGATACAACAGCTGTAAAGTGTCTCGCGGTATAAATTGTCGCTTTAGGAAAACCAAAAGCGACCAATACCTTCCTTAGGAGAATTAAACCGCTCAGCAGTATTGATTGCATCTGCTTGTACTCTATTTGATTTCGCGTCTAACTTTTTCATATATTACATATGTTTTTTATAATCTGTATCTCATGAAATTTTCTATACGATCTTGAAAATATTATTGAAGTGGAGCATTTCATCGTTTAATGAGTTCCCAATTAAAGCATTTGACTTTATTTGAGTTTATTTTCACAACAAATTTTAGCATCATTTAATCATTATTGCAAAAATATATTCAATATAAAATCTTTTTAAGACATTTATTTGTTGGATTACATAAAAAGTACAAAAATGGCTTTACAATGTTTGTTTCTTCAATTTGCTTTTGAATGTGGTTAATTTCGCAATTGCACATGATATAAAAATAATACATTTAAATGTATTAAGATTTAAGTTTCTAAACACTACCAAAACCCAGTAAAATTTCGCCGTTGGGTTGCTTACTTTTTATACATTTGATCATTTTGTTTGTTTAATGTTTTATGTAATATCTGGAGCTGAAACACAGATCACAGTGAAACCTTCATTAGTGGACCTATCACACTTAGTCTAATAACTATAAATGAATCTACTATACAAAATTATTAATCGTTTCAGATGTTGAAATATTATCAGATACATAGGCATACATGTACATACAGAAAGCTTTTTAACCCAAAATAAAAACAACAATATATATTAGAATTAGCGTGTAGTTTTAAGCTTCCAGCGCAGGAAGAGATATGCTGAGACCCGCAGCACTACAAAGATTGCAACAAGTGCTGCGATATCAAGTGTGAAGTTCGCCTTCACCATGTCCAGTTCCTCCAGTGTAGTTGTGGGCGATTTGAAATGACAATATGTTTGGAAGCACTTCAATTTCTCACGTCCATAGCCATAGGTGGCCAGGGCCGTGCCCTCGAAGCCGTAGCGGATATATGATAGATACGTGATCCAGCGTAAGTAAACTGGAATCGCATCGAAGGACACGAAGAATCCAGAGAAGAGCAGGAATGGTACTGACATGACAGGGGCGAGGAAAACACCGTTTTGAACGTTCATAGCTGCACCGACGACCAGACCTACAGACTGAGCCACGAACGAAATAAGAAGGCAAGCTGATAAGAACATGGTGAAACGGAACAGTTCCCAGGGCTGTGACGTATAGAAGTATACTATAGATACGTAGATGACACAGAAAATGGCCTGAAATAAATATGGATAAGATAAAGTAAATATGTTTATCAAATACGTTTTTAATGGCTCGCACCTGGAATGGCAGATCCGCAACTGATATAGCCAAATAATAAGACTTTAGGGAATACCAGCGATTAAAGTTCTCCTTTAGCAACACTGGCATTTCAAGAGGGACTGTGGATTAAGAATTTGTGAATGTGATTAAAGATTTGTGCTGCACGTAGATAGATGATGGACTCACATGACAGTATAGTTATGGTCATAGAAGTGTACATCAAGAACAGCATGTTGAAGAACAGAAAACCCAAATTACTTAGCACCTTAGCGCCATCGTTGCCAATGTCATAGTAGAGAGCTCCGATGAGGAAGCCAACCAGGAGATGGGCAAATAAACGCAAGTACATCAAAGTCTACGAAAACAAAACATATATCATTTGGCATTTGCGAATAACTGATTTGTGCTTACCCAATCGCGGTAACTGAAAAGAAGAGTTCGCTTAAGTACAACCCAAAACTGGTGAAACTGGGAAGTTGGATAGCGTTCAGGCGACATAATCTCCTCAGAGAGCAGAGCGGTTGTGCAATTGTCTGTCTTTTCCACATCAATCATAGCATCGCCCTTCTCGTTGGTTGACACCACAGCCTGTGTGCCCGTGTTGTTCGTCTCCTTGACAATGTCGTTGACCATGCCGTTCAGCAAACCATTGTTCAGAGTTAAGTTGTCCTCGTATTTGCTACCATTAACGGTAGACACATCGTTTTTATCCAAAATCGCTTTCAAATTTTGCACTTTCACCAGATCGTTGCGTGCCTTCAGCGTGGCGTAGTCGGCCGAAGAGCGAATGTCCCGCTTGCCATTGTCAATGGCATCGACCAGCTTGCGTGTGTGATCGCCGTGCTCGCCGCACGAGACCTCGATCACATAGCTAGCTGGATTGTGATAGCTCGGGCACTCCAAGTTCAGTGTCGATAGAAAAGGCACTAGCTGCTTAGTGCTGCCTTGATACACGCACTGTCCGTCGGCTAGGGTGTAAAGCTGATCAAACATTTCGAAGAGTCGAGCGGATGGCTGATGGATAGTACAGATGACAGTACGTCCGCCGGCTGCCAACATTTTCAGCAGATGTATGCATTGGAAGCATGTCGAGCTGTCCAAGCCCGAAGTGGGCTCATCAAAGAACATAATTGGCGGATTGCTCACCAGCTCGAGTGCGATCGATAAACGTTTCTTTTGTCCTCCTGACAAGTTGCGCGTCATCGTGTTGCGGTGTTCACTCAAACTTAGAGTCAAAAGAATGTCATCAATCTGTAAATAAACACAGGGTTTTTCACATATTGATTATTGATTGCAAAAATATGGCTTGTAAGCAAGAGTGAGCTGCGGTAATGACATACATCTGGGTCTTATTCAGCACCATTTTTATAAAAGTCATGAAACAACTTCTTCAGTTTTAAGCTCTGATATAGACAGATGGGCGCTTCTATCATGATCGTGCCCTACAACAATTTTGTTAACGTAACGTAAAGAAACTTAAAAATAGTTGGTAAGCCATATTCAATGGAGCGTGTCCAATTTGTTGTTGAACGCAGGTAACCTATTGGCGAGTCGATGTCTGTCTAGACAGGCTACTTAAGCTAAGTCATTACCATTGAATTCTTCTCCAGCTTTGTGAACTTTTTGCTCAGCTTTAAATTTGTTGCCACTGTCATCGCTTCCTGAACAGTCAAGTTGCCGTGAAGTTGGTTATCCTGCATTATGTATGCGGACAATTTGCGGAATGTGCTCAGATTTCGCTCCGAGCCATTCATGGTAACACTGCCTTCGATATTTGTGGTTCTAGAGGTAGAGAAAACACAGATTGTATCAGCATTATATGAAATACGCTTATATATATGTATACATTGTATTGTATTCAATATTCGTATTCGTATAGTATTTGCTTTGAAGCTATTTACATTTATTATGCACATGCTTATTCTACTTGATTATAATCGCACATTCAAAGAAAGTAAGCGTCAGGTATACACACCCATATATAAGTATATCTATGTGTGCAAGGTTGGTCCAAAGTTCAGAATTTATATAATAGCCACATTTTGCTATGTGTGCTTGTGCTTTTAGAATGATAATATAAACATTCGCCGATTACATGCCGGAAACTTGGTTTTATCAGAATCAAGCACGCCGGTTCTATCGCTTCATGGCTATTATTCTAGTAATTTATGGGATTCAGAAATAAAGTTTCAACTATTTATGGGTATTACATAATTTTATATGTAGTCAAATAATTTTTATTATTCATTTCATTTTGCTCTCAATCAATGTGGGTAAGAGAGATCAAATGTATATAATGACTAAAACCCTGAACTATACAATTTAATAGTGTATTTACTATAATGAAATAAATAAATATGCTAGGTGAGCTGTTAGATTCGCTCTTGATCAGGCGAAATAGTCGAATAGATCTAGCACTATCTACTCATCAGTAGGGTATCGCCTAGTCGTATACTCTCAGAGCAGTGTTAGTTACACAAATATTGTATATATAATGCGCTGATAAGAAAGTTCTATTAACTAGCACACTTACTTGTAGCCCGACAAAATGTTAAGTAATGTACTCTTGCCAGCACCCGATGGTCCCATGATGGCTGTGAGCTCTCCTGACCGCAAACGCCCGCTGACACCCTTCAAAATGGTTTTGGCATCTGGAAAGATAATAATGATTAAGTAATCGAGTTAGTATTAATTAGCCATAATTTGTGGTCACTAAAAATATATCTATTTATATCTGTTTATATATATATGATATATCTCAATATTGTTTGGTATACTCAGCAGCTAGTCAAGTTGAAAATTATTGAAATAAATAAAAATTTTAAACTTCAATAAACAAAAATTGTACGGTCATTGGCCTTTGTCTATTTTGTTGCCCTCCACAAGTGAGACGTATAAATGCCGATGACAACGTGCCTATCTGTATGTAGTTATAAATGAAGGTGATTTATATACAGACATATATTGCAAGATAGACATTACATTGAACTTATGGCGACTATAGCACATAGTCTTTTAAATTGAAAGTCAAGTCGATCAGGCAGTCTAAGCGATAGATTTTTGCAATTGATAGCATTTAATAGCCGAAATGGTCGAAAGGCTAAAAGGTAGAGGTAGAGGACGATGTGACGAACACGACCTCAAAACGCATCTTCCTCTTAAGAATGACGAGCTGAGTCGCTAAAAACAGCGGAAAATCAACGTTCTATTAAAAATGTTAGCAAACTTGTTTTTGACCACAATATTTGAACATCTTTAGATACCTGAAACACCGCATTCATTTGATTTGAGTCAGTGATTGATGGGTAGATACGTCTAACACTGGAATCGAAGAAGCTTTTTGGCGTTTTCTGAATTTATAAATTTTAGTATACTTTAGTTGTTGATTCTGAGTAACATATGATGTCTATGTTTAGTTTCCTAGTTATAGCCTTAATATTTAATTATCTCATTTCCCAAGCATTACAAAAGTAATTTAACAAAAGTTTTTATAACTGCACTTAATTACCATGACCTGAACCTTTCTGTCATAATGCACATTACTTTTGCAGCTTACTTAATATGCTTCAATGTTTGCTTCAATGTGACTCAACGCGCGGCACTCGCCAGTGAACCTTGACAGTAAGTGCTTAGAAGACCACATAACGACGACGATTACGCAATATTTTTGCATTCGACTACCCTAAATTACAGGTGAAAATGCCAGCCATATCTTCTCCAAAAAAAAAACCGGTACGTACAACGCCACGCTTGACAAATTAATGCCAAGCATTAAGGTTAGTTAATTAATAAATAACTCGGACAGAAAGGTTTCGCACAGCAAGCAGGCTACATGTGGCATATGCGTACTCACCTCCATTCAGGCACAACAAAGAAAACTTGACTGCTTTCAAGTGAATTGTATACAAAAATAGGAACATTCCGAATATAATATGTATTCATCTTCGTCGTATTTGGCATTTTTCTTTGAATTGGACAAGAACTTTGCAAATATATTTAGCCCACTGAGTACTCGCAATGTACATATATTTAAGAATGGAAAAGAGCTGTAAAGATTATTTCCATATGTCAGTTACTACAGATTCTACTGACATATGGAAGTAATCTTTACAGCTATTTTTTTTCCTTCAGAGAGTTGATTTCCTGACCTTTGTATTAAAAGCTGTTAAGTGCAAAAGTACTAACTGCTAAAACAAGTATTTTTTAAACATTTACTGAGCTGTAATTAAGTCGGACAGTTGACTGCTCGCCAGTAAAATGCTGATTGACACCCAGCTGCAGAGCTTAAACCTGAAAAGGCCACAGTCCACGGGCAAGCGGCGCAGGCATCATAGTCACATTCAATCAATTGAATTATCATCCTTAAAGTAGAGCAAGTTGCGCAATGAATCAGTGGGGAAATGGAACACTTATTTGTCCATTCGAGTAAAAAAATAATGAGTTATTTCAATGCATATGGCACAATTGATTTACGATTACCTGAGAACAACAGCAGCTGCGCCCAATACCCTGTAATACGCTACGTATGCTTGATATATACCAGTAAAGGGGAGTGTTGATAAATACACATATATTTGTGGGTTCATAAACGCTTGTGATGATTGATAATCTATACGTTGTAAGAGATATCCCTAGTATCTAATTAGCTGCTTTGACGTAAATAAAACTATTCTATTCAGGCCCTCATGCATATGTATCTATTTACAAAAACACTAGTCATTAAGAGGAGGCGAATCCCCACGCTTCTCTTCTACCCTAGCGAGCCCCAGTTCTAGCTTATGTACACATGTTGTGGATAGACGCAGACATACATTCATTCGCATATATTTATATATTTATGTATACAGCAAAGACAGTCACGATGATTTGGAAGCTACTTGTTGAGCAGTTTACTGAGTTCTTATGGGGCAAAGGGTACTCATCTCAATGTCTACTAGAAGGTAGCTATAATTACACCCATCTATACAATTAATTAAGTCCAAAGTTCCACTAAACTTTGACCAGCCAAACGCGATGTGGCAACGCTGCCGGACAACCGCTGATATAGATGAGAACAAAGAAACCAGAAACAAGCACAAAGCAAAAGCAAATGCAAAAGCAAAACTGGATTGAAACGCTGAGAGAGAGCGCACACAGCCCATAACAAAATCAAAAGTGAGCTGTAGACATCGAATAAACGCGGATTGCAATTCTAAAGAACAACAGACGCAAATAAGCGGAACAGGTGCAGCACAAGGCACAAGTGCTTGCTGGTTACTTATTATACGCTTTTGTTTAGTGACTGCGTCTGACTGCTTGAGTTTCAATGGGTAATACTTGTAGGGATTTGGGTACTTACTGCTGCGGTTGCCCTCCTTGACGCGATATGTCAAATTATGAAATGCCAAATCCACGGCTGGGCGCTTGGGTAAATGCTGCAGAGTCTTGGGTTGAGCGGGCACAATTTGGGCTTTCGGTTGTCCGGCACCTCCATTTCCGCTGACGCCCAATCTGTTATCATTTAATAGATTTTTATTTTCGTTCGTCACCATTTTGACAATAGCTTGTTAACCAAGAACTATGTGTTATTTGTGTGTTAATTTGTATTCAAACTGCAATTTGCAGTCGTTCGCGTTGCACTTGTAGTATGGTATGGTATTTTATAATAATTTTGTTTATTTAGCCTTTGTTGTTTATTCTTGCACCACTATTGCAAAAGGCTTTATTAGCGGGCCCTTCTGCTCTTCTGCGTTTCAACCACCGTCAACATGAAAAATTTTCCACCCGTTTTTCGAAAAATGACTGTTCCTCTTCTCTAGCTAGTACTTGACGCGCTCGCACCGCGATCGCAACTGAATGCTTAGCAGTCGCGAGGTAATGGAATAAAGCAACTATGAGAGAGACGCCGAACATTCACCACCACCAACGCCTCACTCACTCACAGCTGCGAGTCGCACAGTCGGGCAGCTTTACTGCTTATGCCAATGCATTGGCTGAGTGTGGGAGCACGACGGCAACAGTCAGCATGTGTTCTACTCTCAGTTGAATCAGAGCCGAGACACAGAGAGCGTATGGAATATTCTCAGCGCTGAATTGATCGCTTATTCTCAGTGTGCTTGTATACATTGCTTTGTTATTTCCTCGCCATAAAAATAAAAGTTTTACAGACACACAGGCCTATATATATATTGTATACGCCAATACAGGTGGATGGGCATTTTGGACTAATTTTTTAGAACAGAACATTTGCTAGTAGGGCATAGATATCGACAGAGATGTCTGTTTGCAGCTTGTACACACACATATATATTTATTTGTACATGTGCGCATTATAATTATTTTCACATACCGTGACTTTAGTGCACTGATTAAAGTTCAAATGTAATTCTGAGAATAATTGAGGAATACGTTGACTTTTACTAAGTAAAATAGTAATATTTTCCAGTCTAGTAAACTAACTCCCTCTCTCTCTATGGATTTGCTGTGTTGGTTGGTTAGTTGTAGATTATTTATGTCGCTTATCAACTAAACCTATCAAAATTTAGTACGCGTTTCGCCCGTATGTATATACAAAGTGTCTATATTTATGCATATAGCGTGATATTGTGTATATAATGTGATGTTTGAACAGCGATAACATTGAATTTAATATAAATTATATTTATTTAAAAACCCTGTATTTTTCGAGCATTTACGATTCGCCCGTGTTTCCTGTGTTTGCTGCTTATCTATAATGAACAAAGTTCATTAATGAACATTTTTCTAACTTATTACTCATTATTTATTACAGTGATATGTTTGCTCGCACGATATAGCTTGGAAATGACACAAACCCCTAAGCTGTATATAAACCAATATTGTTATTTAACTGATTCAAATAGTGAAACTGCTCATAACTGATTTAGAATGCCTTCGAAGATGTATCTACGTAAGACATTGCCTAAAATAAGATAGGTATACCTTGGAGTTTATCGACTTAACAATTAGATATGAAATGATGCCAATGACTTTGATCTTATCGGTATCTAATCTTGAATACAGCAAAGAACATTTGTGGAGCATGTTCTTGTATATTGTCATAGAAGTAATTGGCTGGAACGGACTTTGGCTTTTCTTTATCACCTGTGCGGTGGTTGCCAACGAATTGTATATACTTATGTGTCCAGTTTGATATTAGGATACTGTAGATAAGGAAATGTCGCTATTTATGGGATCATTATATGACGGTTATTTGATAACAACGGTTGGCTGTGTTAACTATAAAATAAAACTTCCAGCTGCTACCAAGTCAGGTGTTAAGCAACGTACTTAAAACCCTTTTACGTAAATTATTTCAAAGAATAAAAATATAGTTGAGTTATAATATACAAGTAAGAAAGCTCTAGTCGAGGAGATACCCTGATCCCAGTCCTATTTGTTGTTTTTTAATATTTTTCACAGTTTGAATAGTGTATTAAAAAATAAATAGAATAGAATAGAAAAATAGACAATTATATAGATCTTGGTATCGATCCGAGCCAAGATTGGCTACCTACCACCCCCAAAGCGCATCTACTCTAAAAAGGCCGTCTCTCCTCCGCAACTGCGTGACTATTGCAAAAAGTTTCAAGTCTCAACTAAAGTAGCAGCTGACAATTCGCAATTTCGATTTTTCGAATAGAAATTAATGCATGAATTTGAATGTATGTGTACACATGTATTGGGAAAACTCGTATGCTTTGCGCTGCCTGACAGGACGGACTAGATATAGTCCTTGTTCAGTTGTGCATTTCGGATGCATAACACTAATATGAAAATATCGGTTATTATTTCTACCATGCACCGCAATAAGACAAACCGGTTATGGCCTTTAAGATTTCCATGTCTTATGTCTTACGACTTTAATCTATTTACGTTATTTGCACAAAGTTTATTAAAAAGAAAAATGTGAATAATTGTTATTTTCCAGTTATGCAAAGCAACTAGTTTTTCACGAACCCAACCCTTGTCGTTTCCCATTGACATTGCGGTGGTTTCCCAGCGTGGCTTTGTTTTATATTTAAATTATAATAAGGCTTAGGTAAACCAGTATTTTTGCAATTCTCCATATATATGGTTTTTTTATTGCGTTCACTCACAGGTTATTATTTTCCAAAAACTGTTGCCAGCTATAACTATCCATAGTTATGCCAATGGCAACTCTGTTTTCTTATACGAAGCTGTGCAACGGCTCAAAGAGCATTACAAAGAGACACGAGGAGGCCCTCTCGCTGTAGCCTTGAAGCAACAAGTGGCAATATCCACTAAAATGCCAGTCCGGACTGAGTCTGCGTGTCTTTAATGTTGGCAAGTGCAAATATATGCACTGCTAAACAGCCCTAACTTAGTTTGCTTCTTGCGAAAGAAAATCTCAAACCGGCAACCACTGGAAACGATGCCACACAACTGGAAACGCATTGTGCGAGCCAACTACAAACTGTGCAGCAATTGCAAACGCACTAACACTCTCTCACACAGTATGGTGGAAAACCTAACTAATACATACATACACGCAAAGCGCTTTAGTGTGTGTGTGTGAGCAATGGCAATTTAAAGCTTGGCCAAAATTACGTCAGTTGGACGATGTAACGAAAATACAGCAAAGTAAAAAAAATGCTTTCGCATGCATATGTATGTATGTATGTATGTATGTGTGTATGTATGTAAATATATACAAATTTATGTATGTAGGAAATACTCTTTTTCAGCTTTTGTTACAGTTCAGTTCAGCTCAATGAGAAAATCTCAATGATTTTCCCTAAAAACTTCCACGAATTGAATAAAACGGATTAGAATTATGGTAATTTTGAATAAACATAAAACTAAATGTTTTGTGTTTCAATGCAGACATATTAAATTATTTTTATGAAATGTTCCATAAAGTGTAGCCTATCTTTAGGCTTTTATAAAATTGGCAGACCGCACAGAAAATGTTAGTCCATTGTTTATTTTTCAAAGAATTATCAGCTAATATAATAAATATATGACTTAAATTGAATTAAATTATTCGTGTGCTTTAAGTTAGCGAGTGTTGACTGTGTCTCACACAGTGCAGTAGAAGCTATAAACGGACATGGCTTAGAGTTCTACATCACAAAAAGCTTGCTAATACAAACAGAACAGATGCCGGCGGACATATGGGTGTGTGGATGTACCCACGTGTATGTATTAAAAATATCTTATGTTAGCATACCACTAATTTTGTGCGTCAGACGAAAACACAGAAAGTGGACTTTGTACTAGTCATACTCTCTCTAATTCTCAGTAGCTCTGTCTCCCTCTCTCTTTGCATGGAAGAGCGCATGTGCCGCAGCAGATATCAGCAGGCATTTGTTGCTCTGTTGCAGTTGTGTGACCCGAGGCAGAGTATACAGCTTGGTAGAGGTCAAACGACAAGATAGCGACAGTGCACTGATAAAGAGCCACAGCCGTTTGCTACATAGTTCGTAAAGAGCCAGAGCCTGCGCAATGTGCATGCTGAGTACATACATGTGTATGTGTGTACGTACGTTCGTATGTATGCATATTTGTGCTCTCTTGTTGTTTACATTTTTGGTTGTTCCAGACCCACTCTACAGTGGGCCCGCACAATAAGAAAAAACAAAAACAATAATAATAGAAACAAAAAAAATTGAAACTGAAAATGAAAATAAACCACAAGCAATCCTTCCGCTCTGACCTTAAAAATAATATATCTAATATATCTATATTTATATTTATAAGCACCACACTAATGTAAATATTCTTATCGTCTTCAGCAATAACAAGGCGCGTTCAAGAAACAGTAATCTGGGTAGCCTTCATGCTTTGTTTGTGTCACTCACTTGCGCTCAGAGACAACGATGGTAGTTGTATATGTAGGCGCCCACTTTTGTCTTGTTTTCTCACTCGCTCTCTCTCTCTCTTTTTCCCTCTCTCCTTCTCTGCTTCTCTCTCCTTTTGTGTGCAAATGGGTTGAATATGCTTGGACACGCTCTCGTTGGTATCACTGTAGGACGCGTCGTCACAGCCGATGCCTCTGCCGCTGCTGCTGCTGCTGCTGCTGCTGCTGTTGGCGCTGCCTTCGTCTCTCCGTCGGCTAAAAATGCGATAAAGAAAAATCGAGACTGGCGAGCCAAACGAGAAAAGTGAATGTTGTGTCGCGAATTGTGTTCACAAACCTTCCCAACTTCGCATAGGTTGGGCGTCCCAAGCAGTCGATCCGCAACTGATAAAATAGCGCACTAAATTCGCGAGCTTTACCAACCAGAGAACAAAATTAAAAAAAAGCTAACACAAAATTGTATATAAACACATATACAAATATAACTGTACAGTCCAATCAGTGGAAAAGTAAGTTGAGCGAAAAAGAATGCAGTAAATGCAGCGTAATACGTGTCCATTTAAATACACACATACATACGTATATACATATGTATATGAATAAGTATGAATGTGTAAAACTTGAGCAGAAAAATGATGTGAATATTAAAAATATTTTTAAAAAGTGCACAAATCAAAAGTAAAAATGTCACATTGAAATTACATCTTTTGCGCAACTACTTCAGGTCCATTATCCTTGAACTTATGTATACATACACTATGCATACATACACAGAGTGCCCTTGTCTTACCCTTCCAGACTACCTCAATATAAGCTTAAACGTATCCTTTTCTTCACTCATACACAAGCATCACTATGGCATTCCGTGTGGCTGGACTCTTTCTGAAAAAGGAGCTTGTCGCTCCTGCGACACAGCAGCTGCGCTTTCTGCGGACTTCTAGGATTGCCAACGCTCAGTTTCTGGTCAACTCACCCAATACAGTTCTTGACAAGAGCATCCTGCAGCGCTACCGAAACCTTGAGACTCCTGCCAATCGTGTTCAGGCCACATACCTCTGGATCGATGGCACTGGCGAGAATATCCGTCTTAAGGATCGTGTACTGGACAAAGTGCCCAGCTCTGTAGAGGACCTGCCCGACTGGCAGTACGACGGCAGCTCCACTTACCAGGCGCATGGCGAGAACTCGGACACAACCCTGAAGCCTAGAGCCGTCTATCGGGATCCTTTCAAGCCAGGAAAGAATGACATTATCGTCATGTGTGACACATATAATGCCGATGGAAAACCAACTCCCTCCAATAAGCGTGCCGCGTTCCAGGATGCTGTCAACAAAGTTACCGACCAGGAGCCATGGTTTGGCATTGAACAGGAGTATACATTGCTCGACGTCGACGGCCGTCCGTTTGGTTGGCCCGACAACGGATTTCCAGCTCCACAGGGGCCCTACTACTGTGGTGTGGGTGCCGATCGAGTCTATGCCCGTGATCTCGTCGAAGCGCACGCTATCGCCTGCCTGTACGCTGGCATTGACTTTGCCGGCACCAACGCGGAGGTGATGCCTGCACAGTGGGAATACCAGGTAGGACCCAGCAATGGAATGAAAGCCGGTGATGATCTCTGGGTGTCGCGCTATATCCTGCAACGTATTGCTGAGGAGTACGGTGTAGTCGTCACATTCGATCCCAAGCCAATGGAGGGTCAGTGGAACGGAGCGGGTGCCCACACAAACTTCTCCACAAAGGCGATGCGTGCCAATGGAGGCATGAAGGCCATTGAGGAGGCTATCGAGAAGCTAAGCAAACATCATCAACGTCACATCAAGGCCTACGACCCCAAGGAGGGCAAGGATAACGAGCGTCGTCTGGTCGGACGCCTGGAGACCTCAAGCATCGACAAATTCTCATGGGGCGTGGCTAATCGCGCCGTCAGTGTTCGTGTTCCACGAGGCGTAGCAACAGCTGGCAAAGGCTACTTAGAGGATCGTCGTCCCAGCTCCAATTGTGACCCTTATGCCGTCTGTGGGGCGATAGTGCGTACGTGTCTACTAAACGAATAAACCAGCTATATGTGGGCGTTCAAGTTTCAATGATGTAGATATCTAGCTGAAATTACAGCAGGTGGACTTTCTATCTGTACAGTTTGGCTATCGTTCTCCTTTGATTAAGATCAAGAATTATGTTTTGCTTGCGTGTGTAAAAAGACAGAATAGGTTGAAGAACAGAAATATGTGGTTAGCATTTAAGTAAGTCAAATAAGCGATGATGAAAATGAAATAAAACTGAAACTAAAACTAAAACTGAACCTGAAACTGAAATTAAAATTAAAAGTGAAATGTTCTCTGCCATACTTATTTTTAGAAATTATGTATAAACAAAAATTGCTTTGTCTAATTTTATAATTTAGAAAATTTTGTATTTTAATTTAAATGCTGAAATTACCTTAATACAAAATACACATATATAAATTGTATTTGATTTGGCTTTATTTGGTTTTCCTTCAAGTAATATTTCCTTAAAGAAATTGCAGTTCGCATTTATAAATGAAAAAATATTTTATAAAGTTTATGATTGATTGTGTGGCATGCGTAAGTAGAATTTATTATAAATGTATTTAAAAATTTCTTACTAATCGCAGTTGAAGCGTCATTGAAATTATATTTGTGTATTTACATAGGCGTAAATAAATCTCTACATCTCTACATGCCAGTAAATACTCTTTCTGATGTTATAGTATACAATTTGTTAAGTTAATCAATTAATAAGTAATTTTAATCATTATCAATTGTTGAAACATATTCATCTGTATATCAATTGTAATATCAACACTCTCAATTATCTCGATTAAAAACTAGATTGTTTGAAAAACGAAATTGTTTGATTATGGGTCAAATGCTTTGCATTTCATATCATTTGGGACTCTGGCACCGAGTATAAGAACAGGCGACAGCACACGTTGTTCTATGAATACTAGAGAGAAGAGATGAGACTTCTCAAAGAACCACATACATATTTAGATTTAAATGCTCTTCCGTAAGCGAGTGAAAATTTAGTTCCAATGGAATTTTCCAATGGGAAAAGTACCACATATGTGTGTCTGGCTGTACAAAGAGATTTACTTGGCACTTTCTTTTTTCGTATTTGTAAAAATAAATGCATACGTAAATTCCATTTTATACATATGTAACGGTTTAATGACAATATATATTATTGAACTTTTTAATTGTTGTGCTTAACAATTGACAGTCAAATATTGATTTATTGATTAATATGGCTATGCAATACAAGATGTTGCAGCAGAGGGACCTTCATTGAGAATAATAGGGTATCCGCTCATATAGATAACCATAGGCAAACAAGTGTGCAAACAGCCACACGGCTGAGCGATGCACTTCACCTTGAGCTGACGACATTTGTGACACTTGCATCGGCGTTTTATGCGTTAGTACTGGCTGTTGTTGTTGATGTTCTGTTATTGTTGTTGTTGCACCAGTCCACAAATGGGTTGGCCTGCCGTTCTCAAAGCTTTACTGCACAAATATTTATACACTTGTCTGCGATTGGGCAGTTTTGTTATACCCTGAACCCATTAAAAGAAACGGGAGGGTATAATGTTTTTGCTAGAATGTATGTTCAATAGTTTTTTTCCTTTTTTAGTAGTCACTATTCTTTTCATGAACGACTAAATACTAATACTATTTTCATGAACACAACTGTATGTAACAGGCGGTAGAAAGGCTGATCTTGAACATTGTTACATACACACCTTTGAGTGTCCAGACCTGAATATTAATCGGCGTTCTAGATCTAGAAGCTAAATTATTTACAAGCTTACATTCAATGCTAGTATATTTGAGGTAGGGAGTCTCGTAGTCGGACACTCCTGACTACGAAAGGGCCACTTGTTTTGTTATTGAAAGGTTGCCTTTATATAAGTATATGCATTATATGGGCAGCGATCTCTGAGCTTGTGTAAGTAGAATGGGGTCACTAGCCAGCAGCCGATAAAGTAATTTTTTGTTGTAATAAAGGAACGCGCGTGTCGTAATATTGTTTTACGGATATAAGCCTGGACTGATTTACGACTGAGTTGTCACAGCTTCAAATGTTCTTTCTATACCTCCACAATATGTATAAATATATATTTTTTCCGATATTTATTGCTTGCCTGCCAGTTAGTGTGTGATATACGAAATAATTACGTTACTATAGCAACGAAAACCTGTCGGACTTAAAAAATCCATAAACAATCGTTTGTCTATGCCTAATTATGAACGCAATATGTTTGAGTTCCGCACCGATTGCTATTTAAATGAATGAAGTTTTTTATATACGGAAAACTAGTTTCAATATATATATATATATATATATATATATATATATATATATATTTATATGTATATATACATTCCTATTTGTTGACATCTTACAGTGCAGGTCTTTCGAGATTTAAACTGATCTAAAGCTGGTCCAATTAAGTTTTTCTCTAGAAGATTTGCATAAAAATGTAGCCAGCTAAAGTTATGTATGCTCACAACTAAGAGGTGACCCCACAACTTATACAAGTCGTTCCATATTGCAACGTGTCTAATACATTTCAACTGATTACAAAGAACAATCGTTTTTTCTATTTTGAATTCTATTTTAGTTTTAAAACAAAAACAAAGTAAACAAGAAATATTCGGAAACTTATCAAGTCAAACGAAAATCTAGTGTATTCGGTAAAGGCTTTTGATTCAAATACCAATAAAAAAAGAAAAGAAATCTTTGACCAGTAAGTCACTTGTTAGTAAGCCAATAAAAAACTGTTTTCATTGGTCAGCCAGCAACGGAGCTCCTTAAGAGCTACAAATTTCATCAAGCAATCGATCAAGCCTGCTTCGGGCAAATTAATTTAAATTATATTTAATGCAAAGAGTTAAGTAAATTAGCAGTCTTGCAGGCGCGAGCTACAAAACAAAAATTGGCAAAAGAATTGATATATTTTGATCGCTCTGAAGTGTGGCTATTGCTCTAGTTAGACGAAGGACTTCTCCAAAGACAGTCTGAAGACGATTGATATGCCATCAAATCGAATGTTGTGCGATGAGAACGTTTGGCTAAGCTTTGGTCAATAGATAAAAGACGCTATCATGCCGCCATAAATCATTTTATAAATTCGTGTCCCAATTGCCAAAAAAAACATTTTATTGATCTAGTCCGCAAAATAAAATTAAATTATATATATATATATATATATATATATATAATTTAATTATATATATATATATATATTCTTGCGCACGGCCAGAATGCGTGATAGATATGATACGTATTTCAGCTTGACCAAATGGAAAGTGGAAAATATGAGTCACAGTTAAAGAGTACAGCTCTGCTGGCTATCTACGTGCCCCACAATGCGTTATCAGAATTCACTAATTGAGTAGGCCGTCAACTACTACGAATCATATTCAAAAGTACGAAATTCAAATGAAGTAGATGAAGGCTACTTATGTTTGAATTGCTCCCTTTGCGGGTGGCCTATTTTTTACTGTGTCAATTAGTTTTATCGCCAGCCAAATGAGCTGATAATTACGATTATGATAATTTATATATATATGTATATATACAAAAAAATATGCTTGCTAATAAAATTATAACCTGTGTTCGCAGTGAAGTGGCTCTTCAAATACAATCTAAAACAAAGACTTTTGCAACGAGATAAATATACAGAAATAGAAATATAACAGTTATATTGTAGCATGATATACCGAATATTAAACTGCCCTAGTATATTTAAGAACAGTCGGACCTCACTGGAGTGTACCTCAGACAAGGCCTCAAATGTTTTATTTAACTTTATGTAGTTGAATTCACTGGGAAATTTGTTTAGAAATAAGTATAAATATTATTACAAAATTTGAAAATTTATTGTTAATGCTATAAGATACCTCTTAATAATTTTTAAATATTAAATCCCAATTCAAATATTTATAATATATAAATATAAATCTAAATATAAATCTAATTAATATATAAATAGAAGAAAAATACTATTATTGAAAAACTTAAACATCGTTTTTTATTACTTAGTGTGTTTAGATTCAATTGAACCCCAATTAGTGGTTTTTGTGAATACAGGGTATGTACTATAACAAAATCTTACGTGCACCACTATAGCCCTTATCGATGCACGTGGCATACTTAAGTCACATGAAAAACAATCAACGATACATGGCTTGAAAAAGTGTCTTTTAAAATCATGGCAAAAGATTTAATTTTTAGCGAAAAGTCTTTTTAATTAAATCATAACAGAAAGTGCTATACCGACTCGCAGCTGTATCAACCTCAAAGAGTCTACTGCCCTCTTATTTGAATTTCGGCGTTGGCGTATTCCGTAGTCTACGCCGTACACGCGAGCCCAATTCTTTACGTCATATTGTGGTTCGCACGCGTCTGCCAAGTGATCTTTTTGTTCTTTGGCTGATAGCACATTGAACCAAAACCCATAGAATGCCACAATCAAAAAAAAAGCTTAGCATTGTCGTAGTTCATCATCTGGTGTCTCTGCCAGTATCTATTCAAATTTTAATTGACAATTTACTTGGACTAATCATTTAATTATAAATATTCATTATTAAATGCGAAAGTGGAGCAAAGTTTAAATTGTAGTAAAACATAAGTACAAGTATAGTATAGTCTATATATATACATATATATATATTTATATGTATATATTATGCTTTACAAGACGCTCAAAAGCTGACCTCTCGTTTAGCTGATTAAATGGCAACGTTTCGTTATGGTTTTTGCACTTGCTAACTGATTATAAGTTCCTGATAAGCCATTTGTTGGCTTTTGATGTTAAGAACTGGTGATAATATACCCTTTGTTCCATGCATGGCATATTAGTATATACATGCACACATGTACGTTTATATATCTTTGCTTCTTAAAGTTGACTCAGCTCGCAGAATTTTTCGTCTTTGTACTTTTGAAAAAAGATAAACTGAATATCATGGTTAATGCAATATTTAATATGTTCTTTTGTGTTAACGATATAAATATATATATATATGTGTAGACTGAAATATGAATGTCCAAGTTCAATTAAGTAAAGTTCATTCACTGCTATGTCAATCATGTTAATTGTGGTGTTCCAGGGGTAGAAAGTGCTACTTGGACATTGACATTGCGACTAGCGATTAATCGATTTTTATATCGTATGCATACATACATTCATATATACATATATATATTTATATATATATATATATATATATATATATATATATATATATATATATATATATATAAATATACATATACATATTATTCCCATTTAACTATGTATGTGTGTATCTCATTATTCAGTCAAACATAAAATAGGAAGACTTAGAAGTACGGACGGCCACAGCTGCTCAATCCATATAGACTAAAGTTCAAATGAAATGAGGTTCATGAAGTGGAAGAGTATATTGGCTCTATGCAATGTCTGTCTTGCTCGCAGCTGTTAAAGCTAGTGACCTGAAATTTAACATATACTCATTATATATATATATATATATATATGTGTGTTTATGTAAATATATATATATATGTGTGTGTGTATAGCAGGAACGCTATAATTTCAGGTGCTAAAAACTTCAAATTTTGGATGTAATAGACAACCCAAGGCGAAAATATATAATGAATATAATAGTTTATAGCCTTTTAGTAAACTAATTGTTATATATTACCAATCAACAATTGATTAGATTCAGATCGAATATAAAAATATAGTTTCATACATCAACTATTTAAATGGAATATTTGCATAATTTATTTTAAGGGACAGCCCTAGGGTATGCTATATTTTTCTTCAGCTATGTGCGTCATCTCTACTTGCTTAAAAGCTTAATACAAGCGGGTCTAAAATATTTTAGAATTTGCATTTAAAATCATTTACTCTGGACTAAATAAGAATGTAAACTAGTTTTTTTACTTTTCTCATGCACTGATTTTTATTCTACTCGTACGAATAGGTGAACAAATTGATAAATTTTGTACGAAAACTTAGTCAAGTCTACCACAACCCTTTTTTAAGATTTTTCCGGCAAAGTTATACGTTGAGAGTGGATGCATTTCTGAATTGGGCAGTTCTTCCAACAAAGCACCCGTCACCGTGAATATGCCTTTGGCCTGGTAGAGCAAGCTCAGTAGAGGATTTTTCGGATTGATGCGCATGTTGTTCATGACGTAGACGCCTTTGTTAAGGGGGCAACTGAATGTATAGTTGCTTTGCCTCAGCATATTTTCCTTGACTGGCTTGAAGAGTGGCACGGCATCAATTATGCCCTTAATGGCGCATAATTTGGTTGTCATGTTGTAAACTATGCGCTTCTTTTCGTTTGGACTTTGTTGTACAATTAACAGACTTGCGACGGGGGATATAACAGGATCGTTAATGGTAGTTACTGAAGCGATGCCGTTTTGGCTGGAAAATGTCATGTTCACAATGAATCGTGGGCGATCGTCTGTCCAGTTCGAGTACAGCAAATCGATGTAGTAACATTTCTGAATTGTGAAAGCCATAATTAAAGTCAATGAAAGGTGGAAGTGGATGTATACATACTTCTTTGCACTCGATTTCCAAATGGATCGCTAGAACTATCCAAATCGTTATGGAAAGAATAGAATCTGAGAGCACATTCATAGCCTTTTCGTATCTCATCACAAAACTAAATGAGTAAAGTCTGTATTTGCTTTGATATGAAATCAATCAGTCCAAAACAATTGTCAATCATCATTAGCATTAGCAAGTTATTATTATTATTTCCGATGTAAACAAAATAATTATTCTAAAAATAATATTTCGAATTTATGTGCCAGCCGCAAAATTTCAATTAGCTTGCTATGAACTCGATTCGAATTTGTGCCCTTTAGCACCTCATGCAGTTCGAGAGCATTCGCACTACCATTAACCTGCTCTGCCAGAATAAATCGGGTCATGAATATAGCATGAGGCACTTGAATGTAGGCGATGCGCTTTAACTCAGCAAGGAACCTGCCAAAGAAAGAAATATTTATTAATAATCTTATACATGTTTGTGCTATGTTCAAAAAGTAAAGCTCCAGTTTGATCTCGAGTTAAGCTTTTAGTTTTAGTTTTTGAACAATGACGTATAACAAATGTCTCTTACGCCTCGTAGCTATATGCATTGCTATTAACGCCCACTTTAAGCAGAGTATCAATGAAGGCATTAAAGTAGAATGTCAGCAAACTGTGGTAATTATCCTCTAAAATACGCGTTGATACGCTTGTAAACAGAAATGCTATTAGGTCATGTACCACAGAATCAAACTGCGCCGTTTGAAAGTCGATTAGTTTCAATTGCGTGGGCTGGCCGGAAGGGTCTGTTAAATGGCGATGAAAGATAATCATATATGTTAGCTGCAGATATATATGTACATAGTCACTTACCATACTTGAACATTAAGTTCATTGTCCACATGTCTGAGTGGATGACAGTGTTAAATGGATTATTTTCTATTGGCGGCGAGGCGAGAAATGTGAAAAATTCAGTTGACAATTTCATGATCGTCCTTATCGCATTCTGGTCGTTGTTTGTGGCTGCTTTAATATCTGCTAATGTTTCCGCTATCATGGTGGCCTTTGCCTCTGGTTCAGCTGCATGCCAATCGAATTTGTCAAAGAAGGGCCGCACTTTCTTTTGAAAGACATCCGGTTTCTTCACTCGCAGCGCAATGGTTAGAGCATGGAATTGTGCCATATACCTTAAAGATAGGTGGGTGTGGGACAGGTCAAACGGTCGTAGCCTTTGACCCGGAACGTAGTTCTCATCCCGCAAATCATCCAAAATCAGAATTGCGTCCTTGTCCACAATTTTGGAACTTGGAGTTAAGGATATGCGTGACCCAAAATACTTCGCGAAGCCATCGAACTGCATGTTATCGGGAATGCCTGCCTCCTCTTGCAGAGCGATCAATTCAGGCGCCAATACCTCGTAAATTGCATTCTCAGCCAAACAGGTGCGTTCAGGTTGTATAAATTTCCAATATTTAGGGTCTGTTGGCGGCACTTTAGCCACCAGCCGCTTATTAAACAATGTTCCATCAGCGCCTTGTACTAGAGCGCGTATAGATATTAAGACACTGCCATAATTCTCGCCGGGCTGAGTAAGATTAGCCACTTCATAGGAATGCAGACTTGCACCATTAAGGGCAGGCTTAATGACCTGGCCTAACTCTTTAATTATTGGCAGGTTGCTCATATTGGAAAGCTGCCGTACTGTAGCTAGCTCAGCGAACAATTGAAATCGAAAACAATTTCCGTATATGGTATAGAAAATGCTTATCACTCAGATAACGCTTATTGTGGCTTATCATTAGTTAGTTTTATTTTCTGTGTTTTACGCTCTCACTTTGTAAAGTAAGCGTCATAAGTTTAAGGCAAGTAATATTTAATCAGAAGTAGTTGATAAGTTTACAGACGTAGTTGATAAGTTAATAAAATATGTTAAACTCTCTTGCCAATCTGATAATGTCTCTTAGCTTCGTAATGATTTGTTCACTTCCTTTTTTAGTCAACATCGTCAAGTCAACGTCTTTGTAATCGCTTGGCAGCGTATTGTTGTCGGCCAAGAGTACCTTTGTCATAAACAGAGCATGTGGCACTTGCACAGGTGCGACACGTTGAACTTCATCAAGATAGCTGTAAGTAGATCAATTTTATTTTACATATGCTAGAAAATCATTATCTTTATGCTTGTTGAACGAATCTATTAAATCTAGATATATGTATATTGTGCAACACTCATCTGATGGCAAATCGGAAATTGCTATATTTCTTTAGTTTTATTAATATGACGTCAACAAAGCTAGAAGCTGTGTTTTTGATATGATAAACTCGTTCATGTTAGTTACCAGCATTCTTCAACAGCTAAAAGGTACTATCTCAAGTTTTGCACTCTGGCCATGTTTTGCACTCTGGCGTGGCATATTAGAGAGCATAAATGCTTAGCCATAACCGTGAACGCGTATTTCGCAATCGGTTTCGCCTGGCCCAAACGTTCTTATCAGCTTGCTTGATATACGTCTTAAGACTTGAAATGATTTGCAGTTTTTCGTTGTTAAAACAGTTATTAACTGAAATTCAAGCGTTATCAGCTGTTGTCTAAGAAGGCTTATGAAAACTAAACATAGCTCCTCATATTGGCCTAAGTTTTATAAAACTTCTTGTATTAGATTTTGTGTTCTCACGTTTCGTAGGTGTATTTGGATGTATCCACATTTGCCCGTTTCAAGGATTTTATAAATGCTTCGTAATAGATGCGTAGAAAGTTATAATAGTTTTCCTCCAATACTGATGTATCTATGGTAAACAATAGTTTCAAGTATTATATCAATTATTGCTGTAGATTCTTGTCAGAACTCACCCACGCTCGAGAGCAGTAAGAAAATTAAGTCGTGAATCACTGACTCATATTGAGCAATTTGAAAGTCGACAAACTTAAGCTTAACGGGCAGTCCAGACTCATCTAAACAATATTTATAGACAATTATGATCCACTAATAATTTATCATTGACAATTCTTACCATATTTGACCATCAAGTTATTTATCCATAGGTCCATATGAACTGAAAACATACAGTTTTATGAGATGTATATATTCGTCTAGAGTTTCAAGACTGATATTTACCTATGGAAGTCCAGGGACTATCCTCCACCTCGTCGGCTATTTGGAATTCATCATATATATCTTGCAATTTCTTTACACCGTTAACGATTGTCTCGTCACCGTCGAAGATATCCCTAATTTCCCTTAAACTTTCCTCTTTTAACATAACCTGAGTGTCCTCTTCCATGTTTTCATTCATATCGAATTTTTTGAAATAGGGGCGAATTTTTGAATCAAAGACTTTTGGTTTCTTGAGGCGCAGGGCAAGGGGCAATGCATGAAACTGGGCCATGTAATGAAGGATAAGCACAGTGTGTTGCAAGTCGTAAGACTTGTGTCTGTCCCCAGGTTGATAGCCGCGTATGGTTAGGTTTTCCTGCACTAGGACCGCATCTCGATCCACTTTAGTGGCTTCAGGGTTGAGTGAAATACGTGAGCCAAAGTAACGGGGAAAGCCATCAAACAGATTGACAGGCAGAACACCTGATTCCAGTTGTAGCTTCTCTATCTCGGGTGCCAAGTACTGATAGACAGCATTTTCCGTAATGCACGTTCGTTCGGGCTGGAAGATTTGCCAATACAAATCGTTGGTGAGTGGCGGTAGTTTTGCAATCATATGCAAATCCTTCATCATATCATTTGATTGCTTAATTTTCGCACTTATAGCTAACATAAGACTTCCATAATTATCCCCGGGCTTGGTGAGATATCGGCTCTCGTAGGATTCGAGCTTGGCGCCTTGTAAGTACAGCTCAATAACTTTGTGAAAATCTTTAATTTCTGGCACTTCTCCCATTCTAAAGGGTCCGCAATATATTGTATGTATGGTTTAGCCGACTTGTAGTGACTGAATGAAATCGCAAAGCAGTTATGCCCCGCTTTTCATGGCACAGCTAGTGATATAGGGAAATGTAGATAATAAAAAATTAAAAAAAGATTCATTCAACTGATGCAGATAAAAGAACTGTAGACACATATTTGTGATTCTAAACGTGCCTTTCTGTACCCTCTACCTTTCCAAAATGACACGATATAATGACAGAAGCAGGCGTTGATCATACCGCACATAAAAAACACTGACTGAGTTGATCTATTACCATATGTATGTGTATACGGAGAGAGTCTCTCTTTTACATTTTAAAGTGATGCACTTCCACGAATTCAATATCACCATATACACGTATATAAGAACTAGCGTGGGTTATAGAGTAACTTTTAGTCAGGCGGTCTCGACTAGTATACTCTTGTATATTCACTACTACATGCGATTGCTGATTAAGCATTGCTTTTTTGATTCGAGTCGTATAATGATGATATGACATATCAGTTGAATAACCCAATCAGTTACGACAGTTGCGGTACCGACAACAATTAGTACTATCAACAAGTGAATGTCAACCTCCTCCTTCCGTGCCATTCTAAACACTAACAGACAAGTAGGCGCATCATATAACGGTATGCCAACCATTTCCTTATAATCAACTGCATGGTTTCTATTAAATATGTTTATAAAGTATTTTTAAATGTAAGCATGACATATACAAAAATAAATAAAATAAATTGATTATCAACTGAATTTATTTTTATTTTACCACCCATGCTTAAATTTTGTATTACGTATGGCTGCCTTTGAAGTGCAGGAGTTCTATAAAATATTTTTAAATTTAAGCATGACATTTATAAAACTAAATAAAATAAATTGATTACCAACTGAATTTATTTTTTTTTTTACCGCTCATGCTTACATTTTTTATAACTGATGGCTGCCTTTGAAATGCAGGTGTACGGTCACACTTGTTGTGTGCACAGAGTTGCATGCACTGCTATCGATGTATCGAGCGCAATCGAATAGCTAAGGCTTTATTATTCGTATTACAAAAATAAGGAATACATATTTTGATTGAAAATAATTGAAATGGATCAACGCTTAGTGTCTGCCATTCAGCAGGCCGCCCTACAGCAGCAAATTTGGAATGCAGCCCATAATTTGGGTATGCAGTTGCCATTTCAGCATGCACCGTCTATGAACTTCGCTAGCAGTGGCTACGGATACGGGCGTCCAGAGGGAACGACATCTTATCCGCTGTTTGATGCAGAGGAAATCGACGACGAAGATGACGATGATGAGGAGCAGGTTCGCACTTTGTTTAGTAATAACCTGGACGAGCGCGTAACAGAGGACATACTTTACGAAGTGTTTTTACAAGCGGGTCCAATAGAAAGCGTGCGAATCCCACTCGACAATACAGGACGCCAACGTAATTTTGGGTTTGTTACTTACCAGCACAAAAGCGCGGTGCCTTACGCAATGGAGCTCTATCAGGGCTTAGAACTGTTCCAAAAGAAGGTGAATATACGTCAGCAATGCCCAGAGAAACCGAAGCCATTGGCGATGGGGCCAGGAAGAAATCGCAACCCATTTTCTCACGATTTCGCATCGCCTACGCCGCCCATGAATGAGCATTCAGCAGGGCCACGACGTGCCCGTCATAGTGTACAGGATGCAATGCAGTTTGCTGGTGTTCAAAAGAAATATAACAATGATGTGCGGCGACGCAGCGACAGTGCCGTGATAGACCGCCATCGATCCCGACCACATCACCACCAGCAGTACAACAATAGTGGGGGCAATCGCAGATCTGATCAGAGATATAATCATGGAAGAAGGTTATTGTAAGCTCATCTTGTGTAAGTTTAATTCTAAGTAAATTCAATATTTTTAGTACGATGTAACATTTATTTGTATAAATCTTTAATAAGCGTAGATCTATTACACCGTACAAAAACGATTTCGCTATAGATTAAAGTGGCATGATCCTTATAGAATCATCACTCGCGTAGGTCTTTAGGGGCAATTCAAAGTAATGACCAAATACATCAGCTAACATCTACAAATTTTTAAAATAAAATAATTGTTATTTACATAAAAAAGCTATTTAAATTGGGAAATTAGCGGGTTATGCTTCTTAAAGTCTTCTCCACATTTCGATATACACGCGGTGGTATGACCTCCAATAGCAGGCGCTGGTAGCTGCCGTGCTCTGACAGAGCTCGGAATAACGACTTGGCATAGCTGCGGGTCTCGAGGCTGCCTTCAAGCAAAAGATTTGCACCGACCATGAAGAATTTGTCACGACTTTCACGTCCCATTGAGTAGATACGATCGCAGCCTAAACGTTCGACCAGTCTAAACATCAGCTTAGCCGTCGTTGTTCGGACTACGGCATTCTGATGCTGAGCACCTTTGCTTGTCAATATATTGAGTACTTTCGCAGGCTGGACGTGATCCACCATCGACTCTAAGGCACGGGTGGCATCAGCACGCAGGAAACGATTTGTGTCCGCTGTGCGGTGCAATAAGGCGCAGACCAAGTCATCACATTCCAACTCCAATGATTTGCATTTTAGCGTAAACAGTTCCGTTGCGACCTGGCACGCGGCGCGAGCTACTTGCGAGCGCAGGTTGCGAACAGAACGAGTGAGCTGAATACTTGTCATATGCATATGACTATCCAAAAAATCCGCATGGTAGCGGATCAGGCGTACCATGCTTTTCAGGCCTGTTATGTTGACTTCCCAGTTATTAGAATCGAGTTGATCAAATGTTTTGATTAAAGCTTCCCGTGGCTTGTCAAAGCGTGACATTGTCGGTGGGAACAACTCCGTCTGTGACATATGGATGGCCTGCTTCACGGGTGAGACGCGTCGCTGCCCACGCAATAAATATGAAGTCTTTGCCTTTTGCTTTAGCGGTGTGTGCTGGGTCTTCGACGGCAACCTATTGGTATGCTCGAGGTGAGAGCCGGTTTGTGAGCTATTATCAGTTGTGCTGGTGCTGATGTCCAGAGAGTCTTGCTTGGAATTGGGCCGCCGCCTATACAGCGAGTCGAGTGAGATGCTGCGTGATTGTATGGCCCTATCGTCTTGTAAAATTTCAGACTTATTGCTAGATGAGACTCGTGAGACGGCTGGGAGCAGTGTTCCAATATTCGGTGTTAGTTCTGGCAATTCGTGAAGGGATGCCGACTCTACTGCCGTTGATTCGAGCTCGTTCTGCAGTTCCTCGACAACGACAAAGCTATTGGCGCTTTCGATTTCTTCCTCAATAGCCAAGGACTTCATAGATTGGGCACGCGACATTTGTGGTGTTGCATCCTCGAGCTGTGTCTTAATGCTTTCCGTTTTGCTTTGCAGGCTGCTAACGCTTTCGTTCCGCTTTAAAATGGGCTCCTGACAGGGTGACTCCGTTTCCTCTTCAATATCGTCCACTACTAGCTCCCCGAATTGCGTCTCTAAGTTAGTTGCCGTTGCCTCCATTTCCGCAGAGTGAGTTGCGGTCTGTTTGCCTACATCGTATGATTTGGCCGAGGCAGTTGACTTCTGAGAATAGCTTGTTGACTTGATCGATAGGGGAGAGCCTTCGCCATTGTGGTTGCTTGCCTGTGGTCCGATGGCTGTTGTAACTGGAATTGGTGTTTCGGCTTTGACTCTATAGAAGATAAATAATATGAGTTTAGTCTAGGCATATTTAATTCACACTCACACCCAAACACAACTCACAGTTCTACTTGTGGGAAACTCTCACAGACGAAAGTTTTTTCGACTACTTGAGGTGGGTCGAGCACTTGCCACGTCACTTTATCAGCCACATTTGTAGCACTTTTATCAATTTGCATCGATTTTCTTTGCTTGTTGTGACAAAGACAACATGGACAAAGACACCGATCATAAGGTATCATTGCCTTTTCCAATAAATATTCCTTAATCGCGTGAAATGTCGTGCGAAGCAGGGCCAAAAGATTTGCGGGTTGACCGCTACAGTTAAAGGCATTTGGCATTTTGTTAGCTATGCTAAATTCATTCCACTTCTCTTGAACAAACAGCCTAGTTATAGAAATACATTCCGATGGTGAGCTTGATTAAAATGTATTAATTTTGGTACTGACTTCTCGCCTGGGCTGCTTGACCACTGTAAGCAACTACGCCACTTCACAAACTGTTTGCAAGAGTTCGTAGTACGTCGGGCTGACCACCTCTTGAGTTCTCCCACCAAAAGGGCAAAAATGCCCAATCCACAGCGCTTTTTATTTCCATTTCAGGAAAATACAAGCAAACACAACTAAAGTTGCAAATGTAAAACAGGACATTGCGTTTTCCACAATACCTACAGCCCACACTCACAGGACCTTCCAATACAGCGGGCACCCCTGAATACAGTTAGCTATACATATTCTTATATGTATGTACTATAAATGTATATAACCAGCAACGACGACTACTAGAAGCGAAGCTAGCCATTGGCCTGCCACGGCGCCTTCACTGCTAGTATTTTCAGTTGGACTTTCTGTTTTCAATCGAGCGACTTCTTAGTCACGTTCGGGTTTCTTCGTGTGTTTCACACGAAGACCTCAAATGGAAAACAGTTTAGCCTAAGATGGGTCGACACTGGGTACTCTATATGCAGCTTAAGCATTTAGTGCTTTGTTGATGTATATCAAAAATTAAGTAAATAATGTAATTCATTTAATAAAGTAATACCTTAAAGTAATACCTTAATAACCTTATGCAAAAAAAAAAAATAAAACACAAATATTTTAATTTATGAAATGTAATATAAAGATATATATTTGCCTGGGCATTTAAAAAAGTTTTAATAAAATATATTTTTCGATCATTAACTAATTTTATTAAATAATCAATTTTCATGAAATGTATTAAAATTGCAGATAAAATATTGATTTATTTTGCAAAGGATGGTTCATAAGCACCTAGGACCGATGACATACTAAATGGAATAACACGCGCTACACCGGCTGCAGGTAGGTAACAGGTACTTGTAGTGGTCATTTGAAGGTTCGATAGTGGTTATATTGGACATCCTGTACCTAAAATGTCCCTGATGAATGTTTCAGCGCGCATTTAAATTATTTAGGTTAAATAACGAATTTGTTTGCGCTTTGATATGGCACCTTTAAGGTGCCGATGTCGTATGACGTGCCCAATTTTTGGGGTCAACAACTACATTATTTCCGCTGCGATTTTTGATTAGCGAATGCCGGCTGCCGACACTGCCTGAATATTAACATATATAGAATATGAAATTAAATATTGTATAATGTTAACTTGTTCGTCAAGCGGGTTAACCAAGCTGATTGAGGTTGTGTTTAAGTTGTTATTGTAGGTGTGACGTATTGACTTATTGTATTGACTTATCAACTTACTTGCATTTAGAAGCATTTAGAACATCTCTGTTCGGTGCTGATTCTAATTGGTGATTGAAATCCTGATTTCCAATTTCCTTTACTCTTGCTATTGCTCTTGCTGGAAAAGTCGAAAATTATTGCTTTAGATTAAATTGGAATTTATGTTATTAACCTTGAGATTGCCCACTTCTTTCTAGCCAATTTTGCTCCAGAAAAGTTTTTTGTGCGGCTGGCTCCTTTGGGCCTTGCTGTTTTTGGGGTTTTTGTAGACCATGATTCACAATCGGATGGTCTTTCGTGTCCTCGAAACTATATTGACAAGGTGTTCGCTCTATATTGCGCATAAAATTGGTAATAAAGTCCGTTTGTCGCTTCATAATTGGAAATCTATACAAAGATAAGAGTAGATGAGTTAGTATGATAATTTGGAACACTTTGCTTCCCTTACCTTGAGTTTTGTCGAACCAAGCGCCTATTAATGGCCACATTACAAGGAGTCAACTGAATAAAACTTCCACTTCCACTGCCACTACTACACGACGTTGTCGTACTGTCAGTGCTTCTGCCATCCATTGATGATTCAGAGTATGCCTTGGCTCCTAGGCGACGCTCCATATAGTTAGCTAAAATGGCAATCAATTTATTAGCTACATTTATTTGTAATTAAAGACCTCACCACACTTACCATTAGTACTATAGACTTTCTTTTTAAAAAAGTCCTGGAAGAGGAAAGATTATGTTATAAGGTATAAGCTACAGGAATATTCGAGTTCAACTTACATTGGAGGCTCGAGACATGTCCAAAGCTTCGGGCGGGGAGTGGAATGAATGTCGGTGCAAGTTTTCATCCATTTGAAACCTTCAAAATTAAAAATATATTTGACTTATTCATATCTAACTTGAAATATATCCACAAACCTTTGGGTCGCCATGTCTTCCGAATCTTTGCTTTCCTGCAGCAAACGTTTCCTGTTTGCCAAATGCTGACGACGTCTTTTAACAGCATTTGGCGAAGCTGAGCCCTCGCCTTGCGTGATCCAGTCCACATCTGCTCCGAAGCGCATTCTCCCAGCTTGGTCTGTTTTGTGGAATGTGTACAGTACGGATCCATCAGTTGTTATAATGGGCAACTGGAGGCGGGACAAGCGCGTTTTTACAGCTGTCAGCAGAGCAGGACCTGCCTCGGTACTCTCGACTGTCTCGGCAACAATTTGCAATACCTCATCCACCGAGGCTATATCAGCTAGTACGGAAAATACCTCTAGGGCAGCTTGTCGAACGCGACGCTTACGATTAAGTGCAGCATAGGTCACTTGAGCTGCGAGGATATTTATGTCGAAACATGTGCCGGGAAATGACATCAGTGAGTAGATGGACATCTGCAGCGCATGGTCACGAAACTGACGATGAAATAAGTTAAAAGACAATTGCTTTTAAGATCTCAACTAGAATAAACTATTTGTGTCTCTAGTGGAAAGATTATTGTGTAGATTCTGACGGCTTTAAGACGTGAAATCTTTTCAAACTTCATTGAGTAGCAATAAAAACTTACTTTTGAGCTCTTAGCATGCAGGTAGTCGGGCGCAGTTAATTTAGCAACAATAGTGCCTGCTGGCAGGCGTTGCATTAGCGCTTTGCACACACGATTTGCTCCAGCGTTGCCTTGGCGACACAGGCCCGACAGTATTTGAAGCGTCCTCTCCTCCAAGTTGTCCAGTGGCAGGCGTGAAATCAAATTAACTAGAACTTCGCGCTTGAGCTCGGCTACTTCGAAGTTTCGTTCTGAGGAAAGTAATGTGCGCAGCAGACTGTCTAGGTAGGGCTGCACCATAACCAGATTGCTTGATAGGCTTAGTGCTATTTCCAGCTGGGCTATACCTTGTAGTCGATTGCGCCAATCCTGTACGGCAAAAGATGATTTAGTAAATGGTTTGATGTAGCAGAAAATATATTTTATGGCCAAGTAGAGCAGCAACTTGGCTTGAATTTCTGAGTCATTTCAATAATTGCAGTAGAGGAGGGACTATTGTTTCTACTAAATACAATTGGAGCAAGCTGAGCTGGCAACGATAACGTCGCTTTAAATAATTTCCTGGCTGCCCCCTGCTCCGTAACTGGTTTTTATTCGCGCCCTTTTTGTATTCTGTACGCGCTATAATTTTTGTTAATGTTTTATTATTTTTGTGCCAGTGCTGACCCAGTTTTCGGCACGCTCTACAGGCCCCACTCAATCCCATTCCCATTCCAACTTGGACTGCGTCTCCATCAGCAGTGTTTCTTGCCATTTTATCGTCCTCTATGCATGCTGCTACTGAGTGATTGTTGTTTTTCTCGCTGCTATAAATATCGCGTGCATTTAAATGATTGGTCGGCAGGACTCAGTGGTACTCTGCAGCAGCTACCAACACAGCCAAAACATAGTATGCACTGTGACTACAACTCCTTAAGTCCATGCACCACGGCACCGAATGTATAACTTATGCATGTGTGAAGTACAAAAGTATAAGCTGATGCTCGCAAATGTAGATCGAAAATGTTTTGATCTTCTAATGTCTACTGATCTTTTTAAGTGTATTTTCCATAATAAAAGACGTAGTTGGAAGTGACTGGCTAGAAGATATCTGAGCAGTTGCTTTAGAAAGTTCCAAAACATTAAGTTATCTCAGCTCTTAAAATGTACAAATAATTTCAGATCAAGTTGATAAGAAAAGATATTTTTCATTTAAATCTCTGCTTGATAGAGAATGAATTCTAACACTTATACTTTATTGGGTGAGGCATGCGTTCTTCTGTCTTTTATACATTTTACAGAAAACATTATAACCATCGACCTATTTTCATAGGGTATAAGAAGGCCTGTCAGATTCGTATTACCAAAACGCAGTTAAAAAAGTTTTACGGGAAACGCACTCATAAATTCGACGTAAAAATGTAGGGCTTTTTGAATTGTTCACGTCAAAAATTAATAGGTCATTGGTACAGGGGGTGCACACCCCCATCTATCGATAAACAGAATTGTTCTGCTATTAATATGTGTGTGTTGGTTGGCTGTTGAGTTTTGGTACCGTCCAGCCGGTATTTTAATAGCAATATAGATGTTGTAGTGTAGGTTATGCGTGTCGTGTGTGTACAAAATTTTGGTGGCTGCCATTATGAAGGCGCAAATTGTGAGCGCATATGAAACTGTATATATCCTAGTAACCCAGTTAGCGTATGAAACGACCGCCGGTCATAAGGATAGCGTGCGTTAAATATAATTAGTTTTTTTAATTTTTATGGGAAACACACAATGGACTGCAGTAGATTCGAAAGATATACAAAAGCTGAAACATTCATTAAGATCATTCGAGCTGAACGCTTTACTTACACCTGAGCGCAAGTCCATTATAGTTTTATAGTTGACAATGTCCAGATCTTCCCAGTTATTTGGCGTTGGTGGTGGTTTTGCTTGTACAACGGTTGCCGTTGCAGGTGGAGTCAGACTTTCACTTCGCCGCATAGAGCGAGGCGAGGGATCGGTTTCACGCTGAAGATTGTGTAGCACTTCGATTTCTTTGTGGGGTACTTTCGGACTGGCAGTAATGCTGCCTGCCGGACTGATGCTACAGCTGCGGTAAGCAGGAGACCCATCTCTACTGGGCGATGCATATGAGTTGGCTGCATTAGTACTTGGCGTTGCTTGTTCCTTCAGAAAGCCCTTGTTTCGCTGTGGCGATTGTGCACTTCTGGCTCGAGGCAGGGGCTTAGTATTGTCACTGGGAATCTCCAATGTCAGGGCTGACATCTTGAAAGCTTCATTGTTGTCTGCTTGTTGTGGTACCTCTAACACTGAAGAAGAAGAAGACTGTGGCTTACCAGTTTGCTGTCCATTCACATCTGCAACGGTGCTTTCAATATTATGGGTAGAGGAAGCTGCATCACTATCGGGTGTGCGCATTTTAACAACTTCCCCACCGAAGGTAACACGTTTCAGGCCCCGGAAGGGAGTGCCAATCTCAGTTTCGTTCATTTCTTCCAATTCTGAGTCGCTGATTATCTGCAGTATTCCTGCATCCATTTCTCGTTGGGGTTGGGCGGGGAGTGGGCGACAGACGAGTTCCGTTGCCTCTAAAACGGGGCTATCCGTCTCTTCGGTCTCAGTTTCTGCCTCTAGAATTCGCATGGTAAGTGTATCATCGTTGATCTTGATTTCCGTTTCCATTATCACCTTTCCTTTCTCTGGATGAGGGACTTCTTTCGGATCCTGCGCAATATTCGACGCTCGCCATGTGTGCTCTCGCGGTAGAGCTCTCCAAGCCCCTGCATTTACACCTTCAGCACGATTGGGCTTATTAAATATTCCATATATTTTGCACAGTTGATTGAAGAGTGACAACCCATCGACACTTTCCACTTCGTTCAAGTAATGTTCAAACTCTTGCACGCCCAACAGCTCACTTATTTTGGCTAACACTTTCAAAATAATCTCCTGCTGTGTCTGTTGGCGTTGCAAGCGCTCTACTAGTCGCTCCACGACGTGTTTCACTATGAAATGACGTTGTGGCGTGAGCAAAATCGATTGCAGTAATGGCGGGAGTGAGAGCAGCACCCCACAGCCGAGGCGTTCATCGTAGATTGAATGCTGGCTTAAGCCAGTGTCCAGTATCTGGAGCATTACCATCTCGGGCACACCTGTCTCCGAGAGGTAGACTCGCAAACAGTCAAGTGCGCCTTTGCGCACCGTCGGCGCCTGATGTCCGAGGTTTTTGATTAAATCAATTAAAAAGTGCATATTATGCTTGTCAGCCTTAGAGCGCATTACCATCAACACGTCGACAAGGACGCGTAATGCATGTTGGCGCACCTGCCACTCGGGATCCTGCAGCCTTTCATGGAATTCGGTAAACATTGCGGCTGGGCAAATTGTTTCCGGCAATCGACGCGTACGTAAAACATGCTCCCACAACGAGGTTAGCTGCACAGCAGTTACAGTTTGCTCATAGCGCCGCTGCATTTTATTAGAGTCTGCACTGCTATTTGCCTGATTGTTGTTGTTATTGCTGTCCTTGTCCTCGCCAATGACATTGTTCGCCTCGCCTAATTGATAAGTGTCAGTCTCTTCGGCGTCGTTATTCCCATTACCTGGCAGGGCTGTGTTATCCGCAGTGTCTTTTCGCTCGAAAATGCGCTGAAAAAACATGACGAGCCACGGTTCCTCGTTTACTATATATTTGATGTTGCCTGCTTCAATTATCTAACAACTTGTTAAAGCTTGCATAGAATACTTTTCTTCACTTAGTTTTTAATTTATAACTGTCACGCACGCCTGCATCCGGTGCAAAGCTTTCTATGACTCGCATTTACATTGGTTCCAATATCACTTTTTTCGTAGAGCTGCCTCCATTCGATTTCTGGACTTTTCCAGTTACTAGCAACGACTGCAGCTCAAAGTCGATGGATATGCCTTTTTGTACTAAAGCAGCCAACTGCACGAAGTGCCGAAAATGGTGAAATTACCCCAGTATTTTTGTTAGTCACTGCGCAGGTCACAGCCCCTCTCCGAAATGGCTAAAGCAACAATTATTTTATTTTTTGTTTTTTGCACTTCACGACTCTAGTTGGACTACTCAAATTCCTTTTGTTTTGTTTTCATAAATGCAACTTTCGTATGTATTTTTTGCATTATACAAATATATATTAACTATATTTCAGAAAGTAATTTCAGTATATTTTAGTAGTGCTAGCAAGATAAGGATTACAATTGGTTTAAAATGTTCTTAAATGGCAATAAATAGTGTAGCGGGAACTATTTTAATATAGCACACATACATACATTTACACAAGTAATTAGATTAGTATTAGACATTAAAAGTAAACCTCGAGAAGTATTTCTTAATTAATAAACTACATTGCCTAACAAGAGGCTGCTGAACTCGGCTCCACTATTGGCAAATGCACATCAGTCAGTGCAATTTCGTTAAAGACCTATGAAAATGCACTTAGGATCAGTAACCTTGATACAAGGTGTTAAGTGTTTTGTAAAGTACATTCGTATAAATATCAATGCAATAGTTATTTGAAACTTAATTAGAACTAACACTGTACAGTTTCGTTGTACATTACAGAATGAAATGGCGACGCTTAACTCTAAAAGACGCATAAACTTTTACACTTAATACACATACTCCTTACGGAGTGTTTCACACGTACTCCTCTGGTGCTTTTTGTACATTGGGTATACGTAGAGTGGAGACTGGCTGGGAGGGCTGTTGTTGCTGTGGATTGGTCGTATCAGGAAGTTCGGCTATGTCCTTGAATACGCCCATCAGGTTTTCATAGCTTGGGCCCCAGTTGAGCAAATATTCCCAGCCCAAGGTTGTTGCCGATGGCGAAGCGGCTCCATTTGCCTTGCGGTAGATTCCACTTAAATGGTTTGCCAGATCATCGTCGCTGGCTACAAGCGTACTAAGTGAACCTCGAAAAGATGACTCAAATCCGTCATAGGCATGCGGTGGAATGGGCGGAGTCTTTGCCACATTTTGGCTCCTGCTGGGCTCCCCACTGATTGCACGAGCCACTGGACTCCGACTATCGAGAATGCTTTTGCTGGTTGAGTACTTGCCATCGCCACTCAAGCTGTTATTATCATACTCAATCTCAGAGCAGGTGAAGCTATCGTTCCCACTCTCATCTGTAGATGTTGAGCTGTGCGCATCGACATCACCGCCCAGAGATAGATGAAGTGCACCGCCTGGCACTCGAGGCGTCGGCGCCTCGCTGCTGGATGACAAGTCCAAAGTGGAAACTAAGCTACAAGTTCTCGGTCGAGCACTGAGTCTTTCAATTTCTTCGGCAGTGAGACCCATTGAGTTCTGTGGTGGTGCTTGAGGTGGTGCAACAGACTTCTGGCGACTAGCACTGGAACTCTGACCAGACAGTTGCGACATCACTGGACTGTTCAAGCTACGCTCGCTGTTGCTGTGCAGTGCATCCTTGCCGACGCCTCCAGAGCTAGAAGTGGTGGCTAATAGTGCGCTCTGCAATGGTTTGCCTGAGATATCGTGCAGAGTTAGAATTCGCGGCTGTTGTGAGCTCAGTTCGGAGCTGGGCGAGAGGCGTGCTAGGGGAGTTGTCTGGTGGGTGCGAGACGTCGACGTTGCCGACGGTGGTTGATTGCTTTGATTGGGCACGCGCGGCACGAAGGAGGCGTTAACAGAATGTCGTGGTGAATGGCGATGCTGCTGCTGGGCTGCTGCGCTCTGATGCTTGTGGTGTGTATAAGATGCCACAGGTGGTGTGGTGGCCTTATACTTGCGCATGCCACCCGCTTCACGATATCCCTTATAATGGTATACGATATCAATGTCGGACGGTGCAATCGAGCTTGCGTTCTCCAAATCGTAGTGTTCTGGATACTCTGAGCCCAAATCTACGGAGCTTCCGTGATCGAGTGGGTGCAGTGGATTTGGTGGCGGTATCGACAGATGATGTTCCTCTCTGATTGGTGGACTCTTGCCCACAACCTCACGTTCGATTATATCAGGTCTTTGAGGACGCTGCTGTGGCTGTGGATGGTCTGCAGTAGGCGGTAGTTCACTGCGTTCCTTGAATTTTTTCGTAATAAGCTCGGGGCCAGTTAGATGATGACCAGGTGATCTCAAGTGATCGTTGCTAGCTACGAGTGGTGCAGGTGGGTCATTTGCATTAGCGTGGATACTGCGTGGCAGCCCATGATCAGAGGTTTGGCTTTGTGAAGTTGGAGCGGGAGGGTGCTTAATTTTAAATCCTGGCACCCCACAGCTGAGACTACCAATCTTTTCTTGTTTTCCTCGAAAGCGATAGATAATGTATGATCCGAAAATAGCCACAACAAGTATTACGAAAAACACAATAACCAGTGTGATGCCAATGCTCAGGGGGTCGGCTACTTGGGCAGCATCGGTACTCGTATCTAATCCTCTGCAGCCCATCTTAACATTTCCATGATGCTTCACTGTGAGGAAAATGCTGCCAGAGCCGTTCAATGGCTGCAACTCGTTATTGATGGTAAAGTTGGCTATGCAGCCAGTGAAAGGTTCTTCCTTCATCAAACCACTGGACGCACCGCCTACGCTGAGTGTAGAGAGATACGGGTCGAGGAAGTCATGCACTCCCGCAAGGTCTAGCTCATCGCCCACTTGGTGTCCATCAATTAGCAAGTAGAGTGTGCGGCTCTGGCTGTGAAGGCTAATGTTATGCCATTTTCCATCATTCAAGGCTGAAGGCTCTGGCACAGTCATGTTGATTGAGAGGTGTTGCTTTGAATAGTAAACGAGTCTGCCATCCAAAAGCGACAAGGAAGTGTACATTTGATTGGTGGCTGCATATAGGATCAATCCATGTGACTTGAATGTGCGGAAGAGAAAGCTGAGCAGCTTCGGAGGCTCATAGAAAGATGTCGTCACAGCACTTGCATTATGTGTTGAGAGGCGCTTTGTGCGAGTGCCTGAGTTGGACCAAGCATTGTTTCCATTATAAAGATTATCCAGAAGCTGCATGCGTCGGTACTGTTCGGATATTTTAAATTCGATAAAGCCTCCGCTGCTTATTCTGACAGGCTCTAGAGAGTTTCCACAGTCGGGCGAGAGAAGCTGGTCGCCGCATTGGCAAAGCGACGTTGACCAACGATCAATGCACTGACCCGCATAGCTACTGCAGCGCTCTGCTGCTATAGCTGGCTGACAGGCTTTTCTGTTGCATCCGGGTAAAATTCCATGCTGTTGTATTGGTGAGCTCAAATTTAAGGCGCGTCCATTTATAGAAACGCTGTGAACACAGCCAACAAGATCGTCACTGTGTATTTGACCAGGTCGCTCGAGGACGGGATCTGCTGATTGTAAGCCTCCAATAAGCAGGGGCTGTTTGTTGAAGTTGAGAGTTCTGTAATAATAATAATAATGCGATAATTAGTTTCATAGTGTAATTGAGTTGAGTTTGCTTGCTTACCCCACGGGCACAACATTGTCTGCATAACAATTGGAATCACCAGGAATGCACTCGGCGCATACTTCGCCGGATTCCGTACACTTTGCGATGCTCAGGGACATGACCCGTCCATTGCGGGTGGCAGTGACCTTATGCCAGTTTCCGTCGGCGAGATTGAAGCCGGCAATAACTGTACTAATAGCAGTACGTGAACCTCCTGATGAGAAGACTGCCTGACCTTTAACCAGCTCAATGGCCAAAAAGTCCGAGCGTCCGCCGTTCTGCAAACCGTAGTTGTACACCAAGAGTGCTGTAGGCTTTGTTGTGGCAAAGACAATTGAGATGTCGTTTGTTGTGGGATCCAAAGAGGGAAAACTCATAAAGGAAAGTGGTTCAAATCCGTAGCTAAATCGTTCGCAATGACGTCCATAGCGACCAGAAGGACAACTGCACTTGTAGCTTGGCTTTAGACTGACGCACAAGCCACCATGTAGACACGGATTGGGACGACACGAATCAGCTATACTCTCACATTGGCTTCCCCGATAGCCGGGCCGACAGAGACAGAAGTATGAGGCGCCATCAGGACTACGTTGGCAGCTGCCGCCATTGCGACAAGGTTTCCCCCAGCAGACATCACTGCGCTCCTTTTGACACTGCTTGCCATCTCGATTAGCCGGGCACTCGCACTGATAGTCATTGCCCATTCGCCGACACTGAGCCTGCCCATGGCAGGGATTGGGTAGACATGGATCTTGCCGTCTGGCGCACTGCTCACCAGCATAGCCCTTGGCACATTGGCACGTGTAGTCGTGAATGATCCGTGGCCCACTAAGTATGAGCTCAGGGCTATCGATGCTTCTAAAGTGGCTTGCATCCAGCAGTCGAATAGAAGCACTGCACACACCTCCGTTGGCGCACACATTAGGTGTGTTGCAAGGCTCGTAACCGATTACAATTTCTGTGTGCAGCAAGTCGGACAGAGCGGAACGCTTCTCACGCAGACGTTCGCCGACGTGAATCGGTTCTTTGTACGTAAAATTGAATGAACGCACCACCATTAGGGCTTCCAGATCTACATTGCTTCCATTATTGGCCTCCATTTCAATGACGCTATAAATGAGAATTTCGTCACTAGCAGAGAAGCGGGACTTGAGCAAATCAAGAGTTTGCACGTAATGTTTTGTGAGAAACTGGGATGCTGTCATATTCCGTATCAAGAGGGGTAAAGTGTTATCCAAGGTGGCATTGTTGTAGCTCTGAAAATCGACGGTCACCTTAGAAGTGACATCATCGTGTTTGCCATCATTGCCAGTGACATCGTACACGTATGACATCGGGGTAGTCAATGATGTTGTGTACAGGTCACAGCCGGTCTTTATAGTCAGCTGTCCGCTGCCTTTCAAACGGCAGCGATAGTCGCCCACGATGTCAACATCATTCGGATGCACATCAGCTAGTTTCGCATTTGTGGGCAAATCTCCGTTAAATATACTCACAGCCACATGAACAGAGCGCGCTGTTGAAGGATTATCATTTTTATCCAACACTTTTATGGTCACTTTATGCTGCGCCTGTTGCTTAGGGCTTCCACTGTCCTCCACCTCAATAATAGCCTCCAGTTGGGGGGTTGCCTCACGATCGAAGCTGGCAGTAGACTTTAGCAAGCCTGTATACTTATCAATGGCTAGCCAAGACTTGTGTCTGCCTCCCACGATCTTGTAACTAAAAGGTGCTCCGTTTTCTGGCAAATCTGGATCGGTTGCTGCTAATGTCATTATTGATGTGCCTGGCGGCTCGTTTTCTGGTATATAGCCAGTAAGAGCTTCTGAAGTAAATGTAGGTCCATTGTCGTTGATATCCTCCAGGTTAATGCGGACTGTGGCTGTGCCCGTCTGCGGTGGCAGCCCCGTGTCAATTGCGCCTATAACTAGATTATAGTGTGCAATATCCTCTCGATCTATCAGGGCAGCGGTGCTAATTTCACCGCTTTCTGCATCAATCTTGAAGCTTTGCTTCAAGTTCCCATTAATAATGGAGTACGTAAAGTGATTATTTTGTGGGCGAACGTCTTTGTCTACTGCCTTCACTGTTGTCACTACCGATCCAATTGGGGCAGATTCTAATATTGTTGAAGTGTAGAATCGCTCAACAAACTCTGGTGGATCATTTCCGTCTTGGATAGATATTATAACCTGTGCCTCATCCGTATCATTGCCTCGTATGCTTCCGTAGTTCTTAGCCATTACCATAAGCACAACCCGATTTTGAGTTTCCCGATCCAAATTACGAGTTACATGCAGCAAGCCGGTATTTGTGTTGATCCCAAAGCCCCTGTCATTACTGGAGCCAACCAACAAATAATAGATTCGACCATCTTCGCCAATGTCTTTATCGGTTGCCTGCACCGAACCCACTGCAGTGCCTACAGCTGAAGTTTCCGAGACATCGAAGTGGAAAACCGGTTGCAGGAATTGCGGATAGAATTCGTTAACTCCCAAAATGTGAACGTGCACAATTGCGTAACTTTCCATGATCGAGTCTGGGTTCTTGGCTTTAATGTGCAATGTGTAACTGCGGCGCTCTTCATAATCAAAGCTGCTGGCAGATAAAACTGTTCCATTGCTGGCATTGATCGTGAAAAAGTGATGATCAGTGCCGCTAGCCAGAAATGAATAATGTATGATGGCATTTTTCGTCGAGTCCTTATCGGTGGCATGGGCTTGAAATACAACAGTTCCTGCCGGCTTGTTTTCCGCTATATATCCATGGTATTCAGATTGATTAAACAGCGGGGGATTGTCATTAACATCAGTGAGTATAATTGTGACCATAGCTACTGCAGACAGAGGCTTGTAGCCCAAGTCGGTGACGGATATGTTCAAGTGATATTCCTGCATCTGGTCGTAGTCCAATGGATGCATTATTGTGATGGCACCAGTATGCTTGTTAACATTAAATTTTTCGCTCTCGTTGCCGTCCATAATACTATAGTGCAGCATTCCGTTGGGTCCGTTATCTTTGTCCGTCGCAGTGACTGTTAGTATAGTCGATCCAATCGGTTCATTCTCCGGCACAATCACCTGGTAACTGAGTGTCTTAAATTCGGGAACGTGTCGGTTTTCATCAGTGACAACTACGATGACTCGAGCTTGATCTGACTGTGGCGGAACGCCTCGATCTGTAGCCTTGACAGTGAGCTCAAAGCGTGAATTAGCCGGCATTTGAATTGGTTTCATCAGGGTTATCCAGCCATCGTGCTTGTTGAGAGCAAAGTAAGCGCTCAAATTGGAGCTGATGAGTGAGTAGTCAATTTCTGCGTTGACTCCTACATCGTAATCATCGTTAGCATGCACTTTGACCACACGCTGACCTGCTTTTGCATTTTCCGGTAACGGGGACAGATACTCTGGCTGCACAAACTTCGGCGGGTTGTTGTTTGCGTCTACTATGTTGATATTGACTAGACATTCTGTATAGAGGGGCGGCTTTCCGTTGTCTGTGGCCAGGATGGTCAGTGAGAACATGTTCTCTGGTGAGCTTATGTACTGCGAGTGCTTGTATTGGATTTGTGTTTTGGTGAAGATTTCGCCCGTGGCGGGATCGACGCTAAATATTGGAGATGGTGACTGCAACGAGTATGAGATGACAGAGTTAGGGCCCTGCTTATCGCGATCAGTTGCTATGACCTGGCCCACAAAGGCAACGGTATGTTGCAGCTCCGGGAAATTGAAGCTGTAGAAACTATGCTCGAACTCCGGAGCATTGTCGTTTTGGTCCTGTATGGTAATTGTGACAGGGGTCTCCGCCCTCCAGGCTCCATCTGAGGCTATAACCTTTAGAATGTATTCGTCCTGTTGCTCACGATCAATTTCGCCCACGACTGTAATGTTGCCACTTTGAGAGTCGAGTTTGAACTTATTACCTGGGTTCGCGCTAAACGTGTACGAAGCGTTCGCATTTTCACCCAAATCCAAGTCGGAGGATGTCACACTTATAACGAAAGTGCCGATCTCAGCATTTTCTGTTACATTCAACGAGTAAAGACGGGTAAACTTTGGTGGATTGTCGTTTTTATCCAACAGATGCAGCAGCACACTGGCAGTTCCTGTTAGTTGTGGCACGCCCTGATCGACGGCTTCCACAACAAGTGCGTAGTCACTCATCTCTTCGCGATCTAGTTGCATGGTTGTATATATTTCGCCAGAGCTGTTAATTTCAAAAATGCCATTGTAGTCATTTTTCAAGAGGTAGCTGACCTCGCCGTTGTCTCCAGAATCTTTGTCCATTGCCTTGATTGCCACAATAAATTGCGGTGGGGTTTCTTCCTCTAAAATTTCTGCGTTATATATAAGCTTCTCCATGACCGGAGGATTATCATTAGCATCAGAGACGTTAATGTTTAGAAGCGTAACGGTGTGAAGACTTGGTCTATCCGAGTCAGCAGCTGCAACCCAGATCTCATATTGATGAGTCAACTCATAGTCCAATCCGTCTTGTCCAACGCTTAAAACTCCGCTATTTGGATCCACAACAGCCGCATTGCCCATATTGCCACCAGCTATTTTGTATTTTATCGTGGCTACAGATCCCTTTTTGGGGGACGAGGCAGCCAATTTAGCAATCATTTTGCCAGGTTGCACGTCTTCCTGTAAATTGAATTGGGTGATGGGCATGTAAGAGAAAACGGGAAATAGCTCCACCGGTCGAAGCTGAACCGTGAGCTCTGCTGTCGACACTTGGGGCATAAGTCCGAGGTCCGTCGCATGAATGTTTATATTGAAAATAACGTCAGCGTTTGGTTTGTTTTTCTGCATCAGTTCCGATTTCGCACGTATCACTCCCGTGGCTGGGTGGATTTCGAAGAAGTGTTCATCTTTTCCGCTTATGTTATAGACTATCATTGCATTAACTCCCTCGTCCAAGTCTGAAGCTCGTGCTCCAAACACAAACTCTCCAGCGCGGATGTTGTTCGGCACAACAATATTAAATGTGCTTGCCTCGAACTTGGGCACATTGTCATTTGTATCAAGAACTGTGATTGTCAAATTCACCGAAGTCGCTCGCGGCTCGGTAATAGAACTGTCCTGAGCCATAAGTGTTAACTGATAGACGCCAATGCTTTCTCGATCCAGTACGACGGCCGTTGAAATTTCGCCCGTATCTGTGTCAATGTGGAAGTGAGTCATATGCTCTCCCAGCAAGTTAAATCGTATCTTAGCGTTTAGACCGACATCCTTATCTGTGGCCACGGGCTTGAGCACCAAAGATCCGCTTGGAAGATTTTCTTGAATTGTGGCATGGTAGTATTGCAGTTCAAAAACAGGTCCATTGTCATTGATGTCCTGAACTTCAACTCTCACAATGCCCGTATTGGACAGAGGGGGCGATCCAGTGTCCATTGCGACCAGTGTTAAAATGTATTCGCTTTGCTGCTCGCGATCAAGGGGCGTCAATAGGACTATCTCGCCCGTTGATGCATTGATTCGAAACAGATCCTTTGTCGCATTTCCCTCCTTGAGGAAGTATCTAACTTGCGAGTTTAAAGGCGGAGTGTCAGCATCGTAAGCATTTACAGTCAGCAAGTAGCCATCATTAGGGGGCAGCGTATTTTCCATGACTCGGGTTATGTAAGGGGAGTCAAGGAACGTGGGTCGGTTGTCATTAATGTCAATAATGCTGATGATCAGCTCGGCGGTGTCACTCGCACTGTCTCCTGGAGCACAGTCTTCGGCTCGCACTGTCAACGTATAACGGGCAATGCGTTCGTAATTTAAATTTTTGGCTACTCGTACCATACCCGTATCTTCGCTAATGCTGAAGTCTCGATTTTGATCACCAGATACAATCGAATATCGCACACGCCCGTTGTCACCCTCGTCCATATCTGTGGCAGACACTTGAAGAACCATCGCGCCAATGCTAGCATTCTCTGGCACGGATGCTGAATATTGCTTGGGATCAAATACTGGAATATTGTCGTTCTCATCGAGTATTCTAATCGTAAGCTGAGATTGCATGACAAGAGGCGGTTCTCCTCGATCCCGTGCTGTTATGTTTAAGACAAAGTTTTCCCGAAGCTCTCGATCGAGCACGTCGGCGACGCGTAAAATTCCATCGGTCGGGTTTAAGGTAAATGGCAGAGGTTCAACGACTTCATTATCTTGCCCAAATGGGCGCGGGTCATCTATAAAATAATCTATGTAGCCGTTGCGTCCCTCATCGTTGTCAATGGCCTTCACCGTAAAGACAACCGTATTGACAGCTACATTCTCCATCACCGACGTTTCGTTTGCGGAAACGAACACGGGCGACTCATCGTTGACGTCTTTGATAACTATCGTTACCTGTAAAATAGAAGAAAAGAAAAGTTCTTAACGACGCTCAAGTATTTGTGTCACTTGTTTTGGGCAGTGATATGGTCGATGATCTATTTAAAACAGGTTTGGCTAGAACACGTTTACGTTTAATTAGGGCTTGACAAATTGTAATCGGACTTGTCATAGATCAGACGCCGTTAGTGAAACCCTACAGCTTAAGCCGGTTTCAGGCTAAAATCGACTTAATACGCCAATGTCTTACCTGCACAGTCGATGAGAGCCGATCTTGCTTTTGATGAGCTAAAAATTGATTTTGCTGTGTTTTATAATAACGCCGCGGCGAGCGATATTTCAGCTTTAACTGCGACTCCTTTAGTTCACTGAATATCGCCATCTCGTCGGCGCAGTCGCGGGCGGTAACTGTTAAAGTATATCCGCTACGCTGCTCGCGATCAAGCTGTCGACGTGTGGATATCGTGCCATTGCTATGGATCTCAAAGTCATTGTTATCATCTCCAGCTGTAATGCTGAACTCAATGAGACCGTTGTTACCTGTAATTAAATGGGCGATATTCGCTTATGATTTATTTCAATCAATGGACCCCAGTTACTTACCCGAATCAATATCTTTGGCTGACACGGTTACCACCTCCATTCCTATGGGCACATTTTCGAATATTTCACTCGAATAACTCATGGGATCAAAGAGGGGCGAATTATCGTTTAAGTCGAGCACATTGCAATACACAGTTATAGTAGTTGATAGGGAGGGTTGTCCATTGTCCTGAGCTTGCACAATCAATATATAATGTTGCACCTGATTTGAAGAAAATATATTATTGAAATGTTATGTACGAGAGCCTGTGATTGTCTTACTTCCTCGTAGTCCAGTTTAGCTGTGAGGGTAAGTGTCCCCGTTTGAGGATTTAGGCTGAATACGTCGTTGGCCCAGTCAGAAACAACAGCATATGACACTTGCGCATTCTGAGCCAAGTCAGCATCCTTGGCTACAATTTCGCCAACTTGATAGCCACGTGGTGCGTTTTCTGGTATGTCAAATGAGTACACAGCCTCTTCAAAGATCGGCGGATTATCGTTAGTATCGGCCACCTGAAAGTGAAAAATAACGAGTTAATTACCATTGTAAAGCTAAGCTTGGACTACTTACCTGTATGATCACATCTGTTTCAGTATATTGCACTCCATCACTCACTCGAATGCGCATGTTGTACACGTCCTTTGTTTCGCGATCTAGAGTATCTTTCAGCTGGAGTTTGCCGGTCGTTGGTTCCAGAATGAACTTTGAATCGTGTCCGTTAACCAGGGTAAAAATGATACTGCTCACAATATCGGGATCGGGGTCAGTCGCACGTATTGTGGCTATATTGTGCCCGATCTCCAGGTCTTCGCTTACAGTATAAATTAATGGCGTATCGAGTACCTTTGGCGGACTATCATTTTTATCCTGCACAGTAACTTGCACCTGGAAACAGTAACATTTAGCAAGAGCAACTACTTTCGTCAAATATTTTCATTATATGTGTAGAGCTTGTTGTTGAGAGTATGATTTTGTACATTTTTTATTCTAAACGGTTCCCTTACGCTTCTACTCGTTAAGTCCGAACTTAACTTCAGCACTCCAGATGCAGTAAATACATTTTTAACATAAACGCACATCCCGAAAAAACATGGCAATCGTTTTAAATCAAAGAAACAATAAAATTGATTGAAATACTTTTAGAACGCAAGCCTCAGTCGCTGCAGCAGACTCATATAAGTTCTCCTCTTCGTATGCTCAAAGATACTTAAGCAAATATATATATATATACATGTATGCAGAAGATGCTGGCCAGAACTGGAACTACTTGTATACACATTTGCATGCGTACATTGCTGGCATACCTACGCATATAGCATAAAGCATATCTGCAAAAGGCATGCAAAGGCAAAGGCAAAGGCAAAGGCAAAGGCAACGCCGAGCAGCACCAATGGCTGGTTGCCTGTCTGGTTAAGTGGCAAGAAGTTCGGCTGAAGGGCCGGTGAACAGTGTTCAGCAGCCCCAAAGATGTTTACTGTTGTGAATTCGTTTATTTTTTATTTGACGTTTAAAAACAGGTCGAAAACTTTGCGTCTCGCTGGAAACCAGACTGTGGTATGCGCAGCCGACTGAAGAGTAGGGACTAGAGTGATTCGAAACACCTTCATTGGAATATGGTATGGCGCGGACTACAATTAAAAGCAACTGCCGATGTCACAAGTTATGTATTATAATTTTAGGCTTGCGGCCTATTTATACAGTTTTTCAAAGCATTTCTGCTCTAGAAACGAGTATGACAGGCTTTACAATTGCTTGCCAGAGACAGACCCTCGCAAGGTCTTATAAATTTAATTTTGAGTCAGTCTCTTGCATCTTCTGTCGATTTGCATTTCCAGTCAACTCCCTGCTTTCGTATAATCTACTTTTCATATCTGCAGTAGACATTAAAAGCGCATTAGTGCGGCCTTAACTCATACTGATAAGCCCTTAAAACAGGCCCAGAAATGCCCGACCCAACAGACGACCAGAGTAGGTTTACTAAGAGCGGTGTCCCGCTATCTCTCACATAATCGTGCTCAGTGTCTGGCTGCAGCATCATGTGAATGGCATGTCTTACCTTGGTGTGTGCAGTCCGTGGCTTTCCGCCCAGGGCGATGGCATGGACTTCTATCTCGTAAGTGGGGGGCCCAGCTTCCCGGTCCAACTCCACCGCCGTCGATAATATTCCCAGTTTTGCATCGATATCAAACAGACGATCAACTTGTATGCTGCTACTCGCATGTCCGAATGCATTTGTTTTCGACGCTGTGACATTCGTAACAAAGTACTCAATCTCAGCGCCCTCAAGATGAGCGCTTACCGTTAGGATGCTTGTGCCAATTGGCTCATTCTCGTACACCGAACCGAAGAGGGAGTTGGAATTTTCGAAAACCGGCCGATCGCCCTCGTCCTCGTACGTGCCAAGCGTAATAATTGTAATGTATGTCTCCGTGCTCTTTCGCTCGCCACTTGCCTCGTCCGTTGCCCTTAAGGTCAATGGGTAGCGCACATTGGGCTTAGTTTGAGCCTGGCTAGCCTGGCCAAGCGTGATTATGCCCGTATTGCGTTGCAAATGGAACAGTTCTTGCTGACCGCCGACAAACTCATATGTGACCAGGCCGTTACTCGAGGAATCTGCATCACGGGCCAACACCTGCATCACATGACGCCCAATGCTCCCTGGCGGAATTAAACCATTTCCCAAAACAGGCAAAATTGCAGCATTCATTGAGACGAAGATGGGCGCATTGTCATTGATGTCTTCCACAATGACCGTGACCAGCTTCTCTGTGGACAACTGTCGTTCCGAAGGCTGCGCCTGATCCGTAGCCACGACAGTCAATCGGAAGTTATCTATTGACTCGCGATCAATCTCACGGAGAGTGTGTATCACACCTGTTTGGGTATTGATGCCAAAATGACGACCTCCAGACGTTTCCGGCTCCTGCTTGGTGATAACGTACGTTACTTTGCCATTAAGACCCGAGTCAGGGTCATCTGCAGTCACAGTTACAATTGGTGTTTTCAGTGCTATGCCCTCCTTGATTTGTCGCACAATCGCCGTGCTTGGGAAGATTGGCGGATTGTCATTGTCGTCCACAACAATCACGTTGTAGAAAACGGTGGTCGAAAGGGGCGGAGTGGCACAGTCGGAAGCTGTTATGTTAAGCGTGTAATTGGTAATATCCTCATAGTCCAAGGATTTGTGCAAGTAAAGGCTGCCGCTAATACTGTCAATGTGGAATGTATCTCTTCGATTACCCGCCGTAATACTGAACACTACTTGGCTGTTCACCCCTTGATCCGCATCGCTGGCCCGAAATCGCATTAACTCAGTTCCACTGGGACTTGTCTCCAATACGGAAATTTCACTGCTCGACTGTGTGAACTCAGGTGCATTGTCGTTGTCGTCTAATACCGTGATTGTAATATTGGCTTTGGAACTCAATGCATCTTTTAGTGCTGCATCCTTCGCCACAACGACTAGACGATGAATCTCTTGAGACTCGCGATCCAGTTTATGTGAGAGGGTCAATAGACCTGTGGCGCTGTCTAGGCTAAATAAGTTTGCCTCATTTCCTGCAGCTAATGAGTAATATACATCTCCATTGAGGCCTTCATCGGCATCCTGCGTAAAAACGTGCATTATATGCGTACCCTCAGGGGCTCCTTCAGAGATGGTCACTTGATAGGGGGCACGTAAAAACTCTGGAGCATTGTCGTTTACATCAGTGATGATTACCTTGACTTTAACCTTGTCATTTAGTGGCGGACTGCCGTTGTCCGTCACCACTGCCTCCAGTAATATATAGTTATCTCCGCCGCTATTGATATTCCGCTCATCGTCGCTTAGGCTTTCGCTATTATCAGCTCTACTTGTGCTTCGCACTAGAGCTTCCCTATCAAAGGGCCGAAGAGTCTTGATAAACCCATTGTGCATATCTATCTTAAAATCCTGAGACTGCGAAAGCACGCTGAAGCTCAATTCGGCATTTCGTCCAATATCCCGATCCACCGCAGTCAACTTGCCGACAAACGTGTTTGGTGGCGCATTTTCTGGTATATTAAAAGTAAATGTACTATTCGTAAACTGCGGTGGATTGTCGTTTTCGTCTATGACATGAATGACGATTGGTACCACCGACGAACGCGACGGCACGGCTGCATCGCTACAGGAAATTGTAAGTGCATAATAGTCCCGTTCCTCGCGATCAAGGGGTGCACGAACAAACAGAAAGCCATCGGGAAACACTCCAAATTTACGATCAGAATTGCCATCTATAATCTCATATGATATACGTCCATTGGCGCCCAGATCACTGTCCGAGGCAGCTAGAGCAAAGAAGCGCGTGTTCACCTTGGTGGTCTCTAAGAGTGAAGTTTCATAGGATGTATGATCAAACACGGGAGTGTGATCATTTACGTCAGCAATGTGTACGGGCAAACTTAGACGGCTGCTCAATGGCGGGTTGCCTCCATCAGTGGCCATTATCTCCACATAGAAAACTGTTTCGGGATCTGCGCGTATGGGCTTCTGCAAGTAAACCACTCCCGTGGCGGAATTTATACGAAACTGTTGGTCCGTGTTGTACGTGAAATTGTAGCGTATACGACTATTGACTCCGGCATCACGGTCCCGGGCACGTGACAAATAAATTTCTTGGCCCACTGCTGTATCCTCTGGCAACCATATAGAAACCTCCGTGTCCTGGGCGAAACTGGGTGCATTATCATTTAGATCGAGAACCGTCACGTGAACTTTGCATTTGCCGTAAGCGAATCGAGACATAGAACTGGAACCGTTTACGCTGCGTGCCAGTACAGTTAGTTGATATTGTGCTTGGACCTCTCGATCAATACGGCGGGCAGTTGTAATATAGCCAGTGCGTTGATCAATTGCAAAATATTCGCCTCTATCGCCATAAATAATGAAGTACTCGATGGCTGCATTTGCAAACATAGGCTGTCTCTTGACTTGCACTCGCCCAACCTCTCGATTTAATTTTGGCATCTTCTGATCAGGATCCTCGATGATTTGGAACTCGTAGCCATTGTGAGCGCCAAAGTCGAGTGCTTCCGACTTCGATTCCAATACGATTTCTACAATGGCATCCTCTGTGGTGCGCCGCTCACCAGAATCTCGAGCAGAGATGCGCAGGTTGTAGTGCGCCCTTTTCATTTCGCCACTTGACGTAAATGTGATGGCGCCCGTGCGAGAGTCAAGTTGGAAAACATTCTCGCCACCAGACTCTAAGTTGTATGTAATTAAGGCATTATCTCCATCATCGCGATCAGTTGCCGTGACATTAAGCAGAGGTCGCATACTGTTCTTGTGCGCGACATCAGTGTCCCGATCCTTTACTGTGACGATGTAGTGCTTCGGATAGAACTCTGGATTATTATCGTTTATATCTAAAATGTTGAGGTACACAGTAGCTGTGGCCGACTGAGGTGCCGGTGCACCTTGATCGCGCGCGATCACAAAAATTTCATAATTCGCCATTGTCTCACGATCGAGGGCTTTGCGCGTCATTAATTGGCCTGTTATAGAGTCAATAGCAAATTGTTGCGGGTACAGCCGTTCCACGCTGGGCGCTAAAGAAAATGTAACCGATCCATTCGTGCCTTGATCATTGTCTGTAGCAGATAGCAAGGCAACTAGTGTCGGCGGACTAACGTCCTCACTTAGACTAACATTGAGCTCCTGTTGTCCGAAGTGCGGTGCCTCGTCGTTTTCATCCAGGATGGTGACCTTAAGCTGAGTGTATGCGAACTTTGGATTGGGACCGCCGTCACGTGCGGATATGCTCAGTTCCACGCTCGCTTGCACTTCCCGATCCAATGGACCGGCAGTGACCACAAGGCCCGTCGTCGTGTCGATGTTGAACCACTTAAGTTCATTGCCCGTAAGAATTTCATAATATACTTGCGCGTTGACGCCCGTATCTTCATCTGTGGCAGCGATTGAGGAAACAAAGGTGCCCGTTGGCGCAAGTTCACTTAACACAGCAGAGTATTCAGACTTCTCGAACACTGGCTCATGATCGTTAACGTCGTTTACATTGATAATAAGGTGCGCTATTGATTTCCTTTCTGGCGTTCCTTTGTCTATAGCCACAACAGTCAAATTGTATTTGCTAATCTCTTCGCGATCAAGTATTCCATTTACTCGTACTATATGAAATAGTGGAGTCTTTTCTAAACGAAAATGATGTAGCTCATTGCCAGATACGATGCGAGTTGATGTCTCTCCATTCAAACCGTCGTCCGAGTCAATCACCGATACGGCGGCAACAACCGTGCCATTGATCGCATTTTCGTCCACGGTGGCGGCGCTCCCAGTAGGTGGAAAGTACTGGAACCGTATAATGGGATCATGATCGTTGGTATCCAACAGATTGACAGTAACATAAGTGCGGCCATCCTGACGCGGAGAGCCATGATCGCGAGCAAAAACAGTAAACACACAGCTCTTTTGAGCGTGACCCTTGCCAATGGGCTCTCGTGTCTGTTCGCTTGTTTGTTGAGGACAATTCAGACGCTCCGTCGTAGAAATCACACCCGTTTCAGGGTCGACAGTGAATTGAGTTTCCGTCTCGGACAGGTAATAAGTCAGCTTGCTATTGTCGCCCAAATCGTTATCGGAAGCCATAACTTGGAGAACGGGTGAGCCAGGCAGAACCGTTTCGTTCAACGTTACACTATAGTCACTATGGTCAAAAATCGGAGGATTGTCATTTACATCCAGTATAGTAACATTGACCTGAAGGAAACCTAGTCGGGGAGGCGAGCCACCATCGCTGGCCGATATATTTAGTTGATAGCTGCCGCGTGATTCTCGGTCTAAGTTGCCCGTCGTTTCCAAATGCAGGTAGGAAGTATCTCCGCTGGGATTCGTGGTGGTTACCAAACGAAATTTATTATCCACATTGCCAGCTACGATCTCATAATGATCCGTCACGCCGTTATCGCCGATGTCAGCATCTGTAGCCGCATCGAGCAGCAGACGAGTTCCGCTTACTGCGCTCTCCGAAAAAGAGACCGCGATACTTGCCTCTGGGAACTCTGGCGCATTATCGTTGATATCCAAGACTTTAATGCGCACTTCTATTGGATATGTGGGCTGTGAGGAGAGCACCACAAGGTCGTAATGGCTGCGCATGCCCTCGCGATCTAGCACGGCATTTGTTTTCACCTCACCCGTTATCTGGTCCAGTGTGAATTCTCTCGGCGGCTCATTGAATCGATACGTAAACTTCGGCTTGGTTGGAATAAAACCGACCAGTGTGCCGCGAGGCTGACCCTCAAGCACTTCAAAATCAGCGCTAGTATCGACCGCGCGGGATTGCATTTCACCAGCTGGCGAGGAGCTGCGTCGTCTAGGAAATGCGGCATACTGTTCATATGTTGTGGCATAGCTCCGTCCACGAGGCGACGCCAATTGCTGGGCGCTGGACCGAGCCTCTAACACTTGGACGAACAGAAACGTGGCTAGGACGATCAGGTGAAAGAATTTGCCTCTTCGTTTTCCGCGAATTGTGAGAAGCGAATGCATCTTCTCTATAAGCCTTAGAAGGCTCTGTGGTATTCGCAGATTTTCATTCATTAACATCTATATTCACTTTTTATTGTTTTCATTAGCAACGTGATTTTGTGTTTTTACTGATTGGCTATTCACGCAAATCTCGAAACACGTCATTTTCCAATTAGTTTTGGATTCTTCTAATCACCTGCAAAAGAAAGAACACAAAATTACAATCAGAAAACTCTCGGTTAATCTAATTTCTAGGGTCATCTATTCAACAGACCATTCAAGTCTAGAATAACATTTCAACTTCTCTTAATTTATTCTTATATTTATTGTAAATGCTATGGGAAGGTGTTGCGTCGACTAAATCGTTTTTAATTACTTTAACATGCTTTACTGCTTGCAGTTCACTCAAAGATTTCGTGCCTCTATAAGCACCGAGCACATCAACACTTTCATACTACGTCAAGCATGTAAAATTTGTTGTTTTTATAATTTAATGAAGAGAGGGGAAAATTCATGACTGAGTACAATATGCTCACTAGTAGAAGGCAGCATGATAAAGTATTCCTTGTATACATACAAATATATCTATATATCCAAGTCCGTCTTAGGGTCGACCATATAAATAATGGGTCAATCTGTAGAACATATTTATTCACTAATTCATCTACCAAGCATATATATATATATATATATATATATATATATATATATATATATATATATATATATATATATATATATATATATATATATATATATATATATATATATATATATATATATATATATATATAACACAAATAATTGACCCAAGTCTTAGTTAGCCCCTCATACAGACAAAAGTTCGTCAGCATTTATAAAAAATACCATAAAAGCTGAAAGGAGGATTGATTTAAGACAAGCAGCAGCTGAGTTAGATTTCTTGCCGTGTTTTATTTTTGATGCGGGATTAGCTATACTACCTGCACGAAATGCTGATATATGTTTCAAGTGTTGTTTATACAAACTTACAAAAGCACATACATATATGCCCTGGAATCCGAAAATTCCTTTCCCCTGATTTGTGGTAGTTGTCTTAAACTTTCAAGTCGAACCCGATCATTAATCTTTAAAATCTACCCATTATAATAGTATTGTGTCTTTGTTTTTTGTTTTTGTCGCTCTTACTGTAATTTTAACTCTGTTCCTTCTCTCTACTCTGTTCTTGGTTATTTGAATAATATACAAACACATACAAATACATGTCTTAGCGCTTTGTTTATGAATAGAAAAAAGTTTCTTCAGAGGCAGAGTTTAATCTAAGAGTGCTTGTATTAGATGGAAAAATAGTTCACAGATTATATTGTCTATTTTAATGCTTAAATATTGTGAATATATATTTTCAGTCATTCATTTTGGTATAGGAAAAACAGTTCAATGACTCTCTGTATTTTATAAGGAATGGATGAAAGTACTCAAATATATATTGCTGCCTATTGATACCCAACTATATGTTAACATATATAGTTATGCGGGGCTATTTTTAAGAGCTCATAAATACCATATCTGTACGAGTTCCAGCCAAAGATTTGCAATGCAAATTATAACAAAAGAGCCAAGCATAGACCCAGAACGTGGCTAACAGGCAGCCTCTGCCTGCCCGCGAGCCATATGGCCAAGCTTCAAAATTCGTAAAGAATAATAATCGATGGCCAACTGGAATCAATGAGCGTTGCTATGAGGCGCCTACAAGCTAAGACACACACACACATACACACACTGTCACACACATTGAAGTATGATCTTTATTTTTATGACTTTTCTTTATTTGTGCTTTTCACTTTATTGCCATGCTGAGCCTAGCCTAGCCTCCTCTCAAAGAAAACTTGTTTTTCATATTTCCATACTCATTTACACTTCGCTCGAGAGCCGATACCTGCCATAAATAATTTCGTTTTTGAACAAAAAAGAAAACAAAGGAAAGAGATTACTTATTTATAAGAAAAGGTATTTTTGGGTTTTCTGTTTTCTGTTTTCTTCAAAATTTTTAGGCTATTACGTGACAGCACACGTACGCTGGCGTTTCAAGCTCCACACAAATCTGTGTTCCAGCCTCCGACAACAAAAGACGTCAACCTTTACAATGACAACAGTAACAACAACAACAATAATAACAACTACCTACGTTACCTTCGCTTATTTATAAAAATTCAACAATTAATCTTGTTTGAGTTTTGTTGCGTCGAATTCAAGTTCGCTTTGCTGTCTATTCACTATAGCTTTTTCCCTCTGCCTTTGCTTTCTATCGCGGCTTTGCTGACTATTCCCGATTATTTCGATTCAAAATGGAAATTCAGTGCTTTATATATAGGTACTTTGATGTAGATGTTGGTCTGAATAGATTTGAAATACCTACCATTTTTTGTTCACATTTTTAGTTAGAGTTTTGTGATAGCCTTGTTGTTGCTGGTGTTGGTTGATCTGGTATACATATAGTGTAAATACGACACGCGCACACAAAAAAACACAAATGCAACATCGTCAGGGGCCACAGACGCAGAAGCATTTTTTTCTTTCAGCAAAACGTGTTTTGCCTCATTTCTGCTCTTGTATTTCTTGCTGCAGTGCGGGCTGCAACGTTGTTGGAATTTTTCACTTATAAAAAATACAACGATAACAGACACACGCACGCGCATACACACACACACACACACACAGAATAGGTGGACAGCGCAGAGAGCGAGCTGCCCATACGCAGTGGTGTCCACACTGAATTCACCAACTGCTATAGATCAGATTTATATTATTATTTGGTGCATATGGATCTATGTAGGAAAATAACTAATTGGTTTAAATATGTTGTTGCATACACACACACGCGCGCACACACATTTACGCTTGGCTTTAGTGTGGTTAACTGTATTTATGTATGGACCAACGAAACCTGAGCATCCGTCGCACCTTCACTTTTGTCAAGCGTTTCAAACGTTTCACGCGCACACGTTCCCAAACCGAACAGCCACTCGCTCTGTGGTCGCAACGTAACTAACTGACTGTCGAGAGCTGCTCGAGAAGAACTTGCAGCGCGCAGGCAGCACAAAAATTATGAACATAGCGGCAGCCAGGCTTCGAAAAGCCGCTTGGCAGGTTTGGGCCGAGAGCTGGAGACTGAAAAGGAGAAACCCAAAGATCGAGACAGAGACAGAGAGAGAGAGAGAGAGCGAACACGGCTCTCCCGCTCCCGTCATAAACGTACCAAATGTGGTAGCTTGTTTTATTGTTGTTGTACCGCCTGCACGTCGCTTAGCTGAATCTTTTACCTGTTGCTCTGCATGCGCATGCGCATGCGCAGCAGCAGCATAGACAGAGCAGTGCTAGCAGCCCAGCCGCCGTCGCCCGCAACATATTTTTCACTTGTTGCAGTTTCGTTTTTCATTTTCTTGTACTGAAACGTTGCTAGCCGCAGCTCGCCTCGGCATGCTGCTCGGGTTTTCTTCGTCTTCCTGCTGAAATGCTCATATATGGGTGAGCGTGCGCATTTGCCTTTCCTCCATGAAGCAGAATTTTAGACTTGCCCGCACTGCTGTGGTGGCAACTCGACTCAATCTGTGAGGCTCTTGCCCGCATTAGTGTGCAGCAAGCCAGCTTGCCAGCTCCAGCTCTCCAGCTAGCCAGCCAGCCCAACAAGATTCAATAGCCACCGGCGACTCATACACAATAAGATTAAAAATTACTTGGCTGCCCACTTCACTTGCCGCTGAATGTTGCTGTTACTGTGACTCAGTGTCTCCCGACTCTCGCACCTTAAGAAACAAGAAATTGTTTTGCTGCCTCGACAAAGCTCTATTTCTCTCTCTTTGAGAAGTCTCTCTCTCTCTCTCGCTTCTCTTATTGGTGTTTTTTGTTTAGTTTACCACTTCTTCTGCTTACTTGGTTCTGTGCAGTCTTGAGCTCGGTTCGGCTGCGCTGCAGAATTTTTGTTTGGCATAGAAACTGGTTTCAAATTAAAATTATCGCTGGTCATTTTTCTTATGGTTAGTTGTCGTTTACTTTACCGCTGTTGCCTCTTTTTTCTCATTTCTTTTTTTTGGAATTTTGACCTGCGTATACTTCCCTTTTGTATTGGCGTGAACTAATGTATGCGTATACCTGCATGCATTCATGTGATGGTCACGGGATACCAGTCACCAAATGTGTATGAGTGGGACGCTGTTTGAACATAGAGATGTTTGAAGCCGAAGCCGAAGCCGAAGCCGAACCCCCTCTCATACACTACATAGATATAATCAGCGTGCTTTTGGATATAATGCCATTGAGATCTTAAGCTATTCAGTTTCTTAGTAAGCATTTCGAATTATTGTCTTATATTATACAGAAAAGTTCAAGTTTGTTGCCTGTCTCTTGCCTATTTCTTTTGTTTTACATACCTTAAGGTTGTGCGAAAAGCGCTTATGCTTATGCCAACTAAGCATAGATTGTAAAACTGTCACTTAGTAGAGAGCGAATTTCGCCAGATTTCATTTGTTTATAAACTGAGCTGCTCAAATGCAACGGCGAGCTGGCGGCCAGCATGCAGTCCGGTCTGGTCGCATTCTTATCTTTGAGAAATATTACAATAACACGCAAAGTCCAGGCTAGCCAGTGAAGTAATGTGATGCTGTTTCTGTTGCTGAGATTGGTGCCCAAAAAGCGTGGCCAACACAAAAAGAGAAAAATAAACCAATAAAAATAGCTTTAGCCTGCTGGCCTCGGCTCGGCCGGCCAGCCGCCTGTACGAGTTGTAGTTGTTGGGCTATTTCAGTACGGAATTCGCGCTTTCTGTTAATGCTTTAATCGCGACTGTTAAGTATGTGGGCGCTGCGGTTACAGCAATGCCGATACTTGCTCGAGTCTTGGTGCGATTTTACAATTTCTATTTCAACTGCAAGTAAACGGAAACGGGCGTGTGTGCTTTTGTTGCTCTTAAGGTTCTAACTTTGTTAGTTTACTTAGACTTTTACAATTAGTTTGCATATAAAAAAGATGATCGGAATATTTTTAGGGATAATAATATATATAAATATTTTAAAGCTAAATCGAACGTTGGAACAAATGCGCCAGAAGCTCTGCTTCGCTTAGGTCCATCTTATACTTTTGGACTATGTCCTGCACCTTTAGACGACGTCGTACATGTGGTGGCTGATAACTACAGAGAAAGGAAATATATATAAATGGTGTTAAATAGCTCCTAGAGGAGAGAAATGTAGAACACTTACTTATCATTATCTAAACGCCTACGCCGAGATATATTCAGTGCTGTTTGACGTACCAAATTACCCACTACTCGCCGGCTGAGCACCATGCCATCGACTAATGGCGTGGCGAAGCTCATGCGACCAGGTGGTCCAAGTAATTTGACTCTCAACAAACCTGATTGAAGAGAATGCACGAAGATAACGTGACAGTCGGCTGCTCTCGGCAATTGCATCGTGTGCAGCTCTTCACCAGTGCGTGCATAGGCCAATAGATCCTCGACAGGAAAGTTAAGGTAGTCCTCGAAGCTCTCTAGCCACACTAGGAATATCTTCGCTGGCGCTTGGACAAGAAGTGCAGGCTTTGACACATTCCCCTTTCGGCGCGTGGGTGGTACAGGCTCCTTATTTCTATTGCCTGTATCCAACTCTAAGCTGAGATTTCGTGGTTTCGACTTCATAGAGGCAGCGTCATCGCTACGTATCCAGACATTGCTCATTGTGCTCTGATCACTGCAATTGCTAGACAAACTGCAGCCATCCATTTCGTTATTGTAGCGCAGATTCCAGGCGTTGGGCACAACGAACGCTATCTCAGAGGAGACATCTGCCCAATAGAGTACGCGTTGTGCACCATTGTAATTAGATTCACTGGACACGTTGGAACGCTCCGAGGTGCTCTTTAGTGACCATGAGTTGTGTGCAAAGCCCGTCCAACCCGAGTGCTCAGCCACCTGAACAGGCCAGCCCAGCGTTTGCAGCATGTTGGCAAAGTGTGAGTCATAAAATTGGTCCTCGGCCATATTGCCAATGATCTGTTGTGCGCTCGTTTGACCCGCCTGCACGTGCACGACGAAAAAGGAACAAGAAAAAAAAAAAACGATCATGAAAATGTTATGAGCGGTAAGCTCCTAGTTCGATCGGTTAGATTCTCACCTTTACATAGAAACAATAAACCGTATCGTGCGTTCGAGCACTTAGCTTATCCAACTTGTCCAGATCCGTTGCAAAGGCAGATGATTTTGTGTCCAGCACAATGAGAGGCCTTTGTGGAGGAGTAAGTGACTCTACGGGATTGTTCGGATTGCGGATCTCAAAGCTGAGAAATCCGAAATGGGAGAGAAACAGACGAGCTGCATGAAACTCATGACAGACCGTGGGAGGTACACATTCCTGGGCATGTGACAGGCTGTCCATATTATTGTCAGACTCCGCCCAAGCTAGCTTTTCGTGTATACTTTGATTCTCTAGCATGGCCTCTAGATCGTTAATGATGCCAGCACCGTACTGTTCACGAATCTGCTCAATCGTTGGTATCGAGTAATCAGCCACACAAGGCTGAACTTTGTCCACGCCCTCGGGAAAGTTTTTTTGCTCGCATTCAGGACGTTGTGTGATGTCATTCATCGGAATGGGCCGACCGGGATTAACGGCGTGGTACTTGATACCCGATTTGCTGCGCGGTAAATGGCGCAGCTGCATGGTCCATGCATGGCGGCCAAATGGCCCGCGAATTAGAACTAAAGAAGACGGCGATAAAGTACGAAAACTTGCTGATCCTTTTTACTTACGGGTGACAGTTGGTTGCGGATCCTGATCATTGCCTAAAGGCTCCTCCAGCAAAGCCAATATTGTCGAATTTTCTGTGACAAAATACTTAAACTTTGAAATTGCTTGCTCCGCATTGCAAACGCCCGCTGAACCATCTCCGGTCGGAGGAGAATTGCAGTGTTTCATCAGAGCTAGTTCATCAAGGAGCGAAGATATGGACTCGGGGCCACACTCGCTAGGAAAGTAGCCGACTTGCTCTAATATGATTGTCAGCAAATTTTCAGCTGCATCGCGAACACGCATCGAAGCTGGCTTTAGTTCCTTTTCGTCTTTAAACTTGGGTAGATCTCCAGATTTGCTCTGACTCTTAGTCCCCGATATGCCAAGCTCGACCACCTCAAGCACAGTCTGTAGGCAGTCCTTATCCTGCAACAGGTAGGGATGCTGCATCAACCAGGCTGCCGTACACTGGAATGCAGCAACTATTGTGCTGTGCAGATCCTTGCTGTGCGCTGGTGGCGGGCGCGAGCACTGATAGCAAATATAGTCGCATATCCATTTCACTGCGCGCTTGCATTCGAGAGCGTCTGTGGAGATTATCGTTAGATTTTGACTAGGATCGACTATTTTCACTAAGGAATCTAGGATGTGTAAGTTCGGGTGGGTTTGATTTAGTTATTTACATAGTGGCCCGGAAAAAATTAAAGCACAAACATAAAAGGAACGACATTTACCACCGTGTATTTGTAAGTGAGGGTTAAAGAGTGCAAAAAGGTGTTAGTGGTGTCAAAGAAACACATAAAAAGAAAAGAAAAAGAAAGATGAGCATGTGGTTAGTAGCATTTAATAAAGTTACCATTCGTTAATTTCCTGGCTGCGATTTTTTATATGAAAATAATAAATTCGGAATGGAATGCGAATATGAAGTCAAATTGTACAAGAGAAACCACAAGTGGGAAAATAGAAAAGTTTACACAGAGAGGACATTAAAAAAGAGACACATGCAAGTCCTTAATACAATACCTGTTTCGCGTATGTGAAGTCGCGCTAGACCCGAGAGTAACTCGAGCGCTGCTAGGGAAACGTTCAAATCGGTCTTCCAGGAGGATATCAGGCGATGACACACCAAATACGTGGCACGCACAAACAGGGCATGAGCATTGTCTGCAAGGTTTAAATTAATTTGTCAATTAGTTTATTTATATTCAATTTAACTTGAGAGCAACTTTGTATACCCTAAGGAAATGCGATGCAACAAAAAGTAAATAAACAGAGATAAAACGTAAACTTTACCATATGATGCAACGCCCTCTAATTCGCTTGTAAACTCCACCGATATATCATCGGATATGGTCAGACTGGGATAATCGTGGGCCGAAGCCGTATCACGCGAGCTCATTGCCGCGGTTGGAGCGCCAAAGCTGACCGTGCCGCTGGCTAACGAAGCGGAACGGTCCGAGCACGCTGACGAAACACACACAGCGATATCAGAAATAAAATCAAAATGCAAAATAAATTAAAATAATTAAGTACAAAATCAACCAAATGCATTTCAAAGCTAAAGCCAAGCCAAACCCGGAGGGTTCTCTTACCAGAACTTAGAATATTTTCTTCATGGTGCTGAACACCGGTGCCACTCAAGTGATCTGTGGCTCCCAGCTCACTTTCCTCAAACGTAACTGCGTCTTGGACACAGAGCAGCAATCCGCCCAACAACATATGCGTGTTTTGTGCATCAGTTTCCACCTGCAGGGCGTTCATCAGTATATTCATTAGACGGGACTTGAGTTGCAAGAATGTCATCATCCTAGGGAACATAAATATCTATTAATATTAGACAGTTAGTTGGAATGACAGCTGTGCTTACTTGTCACCCGAGTCGGCTGTCAATGTACGAATGGGCAAAGCGTGGTAATGGAGGGGAAGCACCATAATAGAAAGCAAAATATTTATGGCCGAGCGACGTAACTCGGTGCGACTGAATGCAACTGCCTGAGTCTTGAGCTTTAAGTCTTTATCTGGCAGTACTATCTCGAGAGCTGCAATGAATCCAGGTAGCAGGACATTTATACCATCAAGATCTAAGCGGAACAAGTCTGCCGAATGAAGTAGAATACTGGCCAATGTTTCGTCACACTCCTTTGACTCAGTTATCTTGAGGCACTGTTGTAGCGCCATATAAAAGCGAGCTAAATAGACAGGCAGGATTTCCTCGCCGGTTTTCTTTGCGCAGAAGATTTTGCATAGTGTGCCAATTGCCTCGGCACGACCAGATTCATATTTGTCAATGGTCAGCGTGGGAGGCAGTGATGATGGATCGTTCAGCGAATTGGGTTGGGACAACGATATCGATCCCTTGCGATTCTCCATTATCATAGACGACGGCCGCTTACTAGCCTCACATGCTTGCTCTGAAAAACTCAGTGAATGTAGTTTCAAACGGTATTTAACTTTATTGGGTACTCACTTTTACGATTCTGTAGCCAAGTATCGCCGCCTATGTGCGCTGCCTCGAACAACCACTCTCCGAATAAATGTAGAATGCTGTTGCATTTCGGACGAGCCACAGAGAGAGGCGGACGCAGCTCAGTGCCGATCGATGGCAGCGCTGTAGGTGAGTGAGAGGGAGAGAGCGTGGGTAAAACAGATGTTGAGAGTAGAATAGGCAAGTGTTTTGCTTTCCTACATTAAAACACTCACAATTGATGCTGCTTGATGAGGGCGGACCCGAAGTCGGAGTCGTGGGGGCGGCGCTCGCCGAGCTGCGTGTTAGGCTGATAAGCGCTGTTTTGCTTAAGCCTGTAAAGCGTGTGGGAAGGGAAAGCGTGTGAAAAATTACTAAAAAGAGTTAGTCGGCAGAGGGAGTGCATACACACATGCAACATTGTGCTCAGTTATAATTGTGGGCGTACAATATATAAAACTACGTTCTATTAAATGGGAACGAATAATTAGAGGGCCACAAACATATGTGTGCTCGCATATGTAAGAGCGTAATGAAAAACAAAATCAGGCAGTAATACGGGCTTAGAAAGACTCAATGGTTGCTCTAACAAAGGCCACAGCGCGTGATATAATGAACGTAAAATGCAAATAAGTGCGGGCATACAAAATAAAGCGTCGACGATGTCCGTCACTTGATCAATCACAAAGCTTAGTTAGTCTCTAACATGCTGTAAAAGTAACAAAAGCGACACGGCACAAAAAAGGCTCAATTAACAAAAATCGCACCCTTCTGCTGCGTGATGGATGGAGCCACGCTAAAACTTTTGGCCAGGCGACGCTGCAAAGGTGGCGTGGGTGTTACACTACTGCTGCTGCTGCCGTTTGAGCTTGACAGCGGCATTGCCTCAGACGTGCTGAACGAGATGCAGCCTGCAACGCCCGCCGAGTGACTGCCGCCAGCGCTAACGCTGCCAACCGGGCCAGCGGGAGCGATGTAGCAAAGGTTTGTTGGAGAAGCACTACAATTTTGTACGTATTGCCCTTGAGACAGTTGCTGTTGCTGAGGCTGGTGCTGGTGCTGCTGCTGCTGATGATGGTGGCCCATAATGGCGTTTAAAGCAGAACTGGCCGAGCTGCTTACAAAGTTATCGCGTAGGAAACTCCCAGCGCCATGTAAATGCAAATGCGGATAGTGGAGATGATGATGATGCGGCGGATGGGACAACTGAGTCGACCCCGATTGCTGCATGCTAATGTTTGAGACGCTGCTCGAGTGTATGAACTGTTGGAGCGTGGATGAAGTTGCCTCATTTAAAGAGTGGCGTATCTCAAGCAGATTTGTAACGACGTTGTCCTGTTGGCTGGGCGGAGGCTGATAAATGCCTGTGTTTCGTTTCGAAGATGGTTATAAAAGCGATATAATAACTATTCTAACTAGAGGGTTAATCCTACATGTGTATGAGACCTAAACAATATCTTTATTTGCACAACTTACCCAGAAAGGCATCAACTTGGCTGGAGATTCCGCGGATAGCATTTAGGAAGATCTGAGGCAGAACTTGAAGGCACGGATGCTGATGTGTCTCGGCTCCCTTTTCGTGCGTGAGAGCCCACTGAACGAAATGTGACGATTTGCTGATGATGTGCGGCGAACAGAGAGCTGTGGGATTGCCTATCATGCGCAAAAATCGATACCAAGTCTGTGCCACACAATCATTTGACATGCCCGCAGGTATAAGCTGACTATCCTCATCAGCTGGAATAAGTAAGAGAAAAAGAAAGATAGATTTTATTCATGTATTACTTATGATGTTGCTTACCATTTTTAAGCTGTGTAAAATCTGGCCCATAACTGAATTCCAATAACCTCGCGGTTAATGCAAGATTTACTCGATTCCATTGATCCACAAGTGCAATGCGGTGACGCCACATGGCACATGATTCTTGCAGAGTCTTCCACAGCGAGGGCGACGGAAAACAGCGAACACAAGCCAAAAGCCAAACCTCGAATAGTACGGAAAGCACACGTTCACACAGTTGGTCGCCCACATCATCCTTCACAGTTGGCGGGGCCAGTAAAATCTCATTGATTGCTAACAGAAAGAGTAGCAGCGTTTCCCAGGTCTCTCGGTCCATGTGCTGCGAAATCTGAGCTGTTTGCTGGAGAGTGCGCAAAACGCGATGACAGAGCACGGCCTGGCGCTTTATCGTATCAGAGCCTATAAGAAACAATTGTAGGAATTAGCGCGACAATTAGATTTATATATGGTAAACAAAGAGAGAGCACCTACCAAGCTTCGTTTGGTATAAAAATGGCAAGACTTGAAATTTAGAATGCAATAATTACAAATCGTCATCGTGTATGAATATGATTCAAGAAGCAGCTAAATCGGGTGATATCACTTAGTGGTGCCTGGTACTTACTTTCTCCCTGTCGTGGAACGAACAGATTGTGGAAATGATTGATTATCTGTCTTGCATACAGATTGGCATCCTCGCAAATGGGCTTGGGCACACTGATACGTGGCTGCGGATGCAGCGCGGTCAACCATTCGCAGTAGACATTGACGCAGTCCTTGATAGTCTCATGCTCCTGCAATGGTAATGAGAGTCCAAAACAAATGACGTCCATGCACCATCTGACCTATTTAGTGAGCAGACATAGAGGTTAACGTTGAAATAACGAATAGTGGTAAGATCTAGATCAAACACACCTCCTCATCTTTCACCAGGTGGCTGGGCTCCGCATTCTGGGTTATGCCCAAATTGGTGCCAAGCTGTTTAACCACTGAGATTACGACTTCCCGACCAGCAGATGCTGGAAACTTATTCAGAACACTGTAACACTGTGCTCCACAACTGTTGGCATTAATCTGTGCCGACAGCGAAGCCCACTCAGAGTACATTTTTTACAGTTCTCTTTGCTTACACACACAGTTTTCACCTTTTCTACTCGAATCAGGGCAGCAGAGCGCAACTGTGACTCATTACAACGTGATGAATCTCTTCTTCCGTGCTGACTAATTGTAATATGATTTGATTAAAGTTAAGTAATTGCTGAGAATTTACTTAAATTCAATTTTGTTGTACAATTTTCTGTTTAGGCTTATTTTCTTCTCAACAAACAAAAATAGTGTTCGTTAGCGACAAGTGGACAGTGTTGCAAAATGTGCCAACACTATGCGATATTTAACAGCACTAGAGTTCATCAAATTTTCAAATTTCATAATTTAAAATTTAGAACGATTTTAGATAACTAAATTGCCAAATGAATTGATTGTATAATTTTATACATCAGATTTAATTAATTGACGTTAATTTACCGATCTACTACCTCACAAAAATACTTAATTGCTGTTATTTAGCTATTGACCCAAAACTTAAAAACAAACTATATTTCCCTTCAGCCATAAGTGGCTTAGATAATTGTTGCGTCTAATTTAATCACGTGTTGTATCTTCAGATAAGCCGCCAAGACAAACAATGATAAGACAGTTGAGTTCTCTCACACTGAATTTATTTCAGCACCCGATGCTATGGACCACTGTTAATAGCCCGGGAAACAAACAGAATACACATATATTAAATTACTCTAGAATATGTTCGTAACTACGACGGTAGATTAACCGTTTGACTATATGTATACTGAAACTGAATTTTTGCTTATATTTGTGTGTACTTAGCGCACACATAGACAAGTAATGTGTATGTATTATAACTGCCGTTAAAATTGTTCTAATGCATATATCTTGGATTGGATGCACTGCTTATCTAATCCTGTTTCTTTTGTGCGGCTGTCTTTTTGGTTGGCGTCGCATTCTGCGCTGCTTTGGGGGCCTCGGCATTCGGCGTTGCTTCTATAGCACCAGCTGGCTGGTTGGCATGGGCTTCTCCCTCAATTCGTTTGTTGGCAGCCTGCTCCTCCATCTCGCCGGAGAATCCAAATTCGTTCACACGCTTCAAATCCACGCGGTACTGCCAGCGCTGATAGAGGAAAACAAAGAATATGATGTCGTCCCTAAAGCAGCCGATGCGGTACATGGTGGGCATCTTAATGACGAATGCGAAAATGTCGTCGATGAAGGTGTTAAGGAATTTGTACGTCATCATGCGCCAAGGCAGATGGGCAACCGATTTCAGCTTATAGTTGATGAACAGCTGCGGAGTCATCAGGATGAATCCAAACGTCAATAGGTAGCTGTACAGCATATTCAGTACAAACGAATACCAGCCCTTATGCTCGTTATACAGCAGGGAGTAGATGAAGTAGCCCACTAGCAAGGGGAAACAAGCCCAGCCCAGGTACTTGAAGGCCAACTTGTCGTATTCCTTGGTAGCACTCTCTGAGTACGAGCCCTTATCGTTGAAACTGATACGTGGAAAAATGCCCAGCACCTTTTGCTGGTTGTTGTAGTTAACGTCGACGACCTTGTGTATTTTCCACACCTCAATGCCGAGACCTACGAAGCAGGATATCCGTATCATGAAATTGGTCTCGTTGTCAAGCACATAGAGTAGAATGATAAGGGACTGGAATACACCAAAGAACACGGATCGCACGGAGAGACCCTCCAGCGACTGCCGATTGTTCCAGAACTGAATGTCGTTCTTGAAGGCGAGTAGCTCGAAAACCGAGTGCAGTATGGAGACTGCCACAGTGATTCCGAGCAGGTAGATATTAGTGTCTAGCAGAGTTTCTTTAAGTGAGTCCTGGTCCTCGTCTGTCTCCTCAGGAGCACTGGCTGCCATTATCTCGCCAAGCACGTTGCCGGCCCACTTGCTCTTCATCTGCTTAGCTGCATAAAGCTGCCACTTAAACATGCCCAACGGCTGGAAGGTCAGATGTAGGTCTAACTCAGGCGTGGATTCGTTAATAGGAAAGTATTCGCGCTGCAGATTCCAATAGTCGTTGACAAAGACAATCGGCAGATACGTTTTGCCTCCATCGACAAATTTGACATACTCATCAAGGGGCGAGGGCACGCTTCCCTGTGCCCAGTTCGTCTGATCCACGACAAGATTGACGGTCAAGTTTGAATGCCAGTGCGAGACAATCTGATCCTTGAGATTGGCATGTTTCAGCTCATGCTCCAACTTCTCCTTTTCGCTGGCCAACAAATTGTAGTTGCGATTCACACGCAGCTTCTTGAACTTGTTCAGTTGATGCTGTTGATGGCCCATGTGGCCATGTTTTGAGTATTTAGGCGATTGCGGATCTGGACTTTCACCAGCACGTGTGACAAATGCGTGCAAATAGACGCTGCCGTTGTTCAGAAGATGTGGACTGGCTTTAATTTTGAGAGTGTGCGTGTAAATGCCGTTACCTGTGGGACCCGAGATCCAATCCCCGTAGGTAAGGTCCTCTTGCAGCCACAGAAGATTGTTCTTCTGTTGGAAGTTCACCACATCCGGCTCCTCGGATAGCCAGATGTGCAAATCAAAATCTGTGCCATTCTCAAAATAGTTCCATGCGGTTATTTTTGGACCCGCATTTGCAACGGCTTGATCTGGCGTTGCATTAGGCTGTGGCCGCCGGAAGAAGGAACTTACAAAGTAAATAATTAGTGCCCGCAGAATCAACGATTTTGTCATTGCGAAAAAAGACTCCATGCGTGTTGGCTGGTTTTGTTGCTGCTGCTGTTGTTGTTGACCCTCGGCAGCAGCCGCCTGCATTTTGGAAATGAATCAAATCGAATCATGAAAGAACGTTATAATAACAATTGAATGACTTACCGGTGTTGGCGCAGCCGCCGGCAAAAGGACATCGATGTCTGACATGTTGTGTACGTGTACTTAATGGAATAAATACACGTTTTTTACACAACTTTTCCGTGGTTGCCTAGATTTTGTTGAACTGAAAATGTTATTTAACATAACAGCAGCGAGAACCTGAATAAATGCTCAGCTGCTAATAACAGTGTGAAAATAATAATTGCCTGGATTGTAATGTTATTTGACATAACAATGACCATAACATTTGTTACGCTATGTTATTTTACGGAGAAATGCCATTTCATGTCGAATCGATAGATAACAGCTGATCAAGTACCACGTCATGTCAATACTTAACAACATCATAAAATAGGAATAATTTATACATTTAAAAGTCTATTTAATCACTATATTTCAATATGAATAATCAATAAGGAATATCTAAAAATTTTAGTAATTTCAAGTTTCTTTGACCACCTAGACCGACATATCGATACTTTTCTGACTACCACTCAAAAGGTGACTGATATAACCAAGTAGCCAGTGTTGTGCTATTTGCTAATTTGAGTAATATTCACGCTAGTTGTGTACACATTCTTTTCGTTTGTGAATAAGCGTTTGGTTGCACGTTTCTTTTGGTAAGTTGCTCAAAATAAGTAAAAATAAATATTAAAAAGTAAAAGCGTTGCATTGCCTGTATGCCAATTGTCGTCAAGAAATTAATGTGCAACGGTAGCCAACGTTCGCATATACGGATGGCCAAAAACGAATGTCAAACATCTCATCACTTGTTACCATGTCGTATCTAACCTCAAGTTTCAAGGCATGAGACTACGTCGCATTACAAATCGGCAAAATGCAAATGTGACGCTTTCATGTTAAAGTTAAAGTAATTGAACAAATTCTGATGTTAACATATCTTGCGCTTGCAGCAACGTTTTCAAAATGCAAATCTTCGTGAAAACTCTCACCGGCAAGACCATCACCTTGGAGGTCGAGCCCTCTGACACCATCGAGAATGTCAAGGCTAAGATCCAAGACAAAGAGGGAATCCCACCAGATCAGCAGCGTCTGATCTTTGCCGGCAAGCAGCTGGAGGATGGACGCACTCTTTCCGACTACAACATCCAGAAGGAGTCCACTTTGCACTTGGTGCTCCGTCTGCGTGGTGGTATCATTGAGCCCTCGCTTCGCATTCTCGCCCAGAAGTACAACTGCGACAAAATGATTTGCCGCAAGTGCTACGCTCGTCTGCACCCGCGTGCTACCAACTGCCGCAAGAAGAAGTGCGGACACACCAACAATTTGCGCCCCAAGAAGAAGTTGAAGTAGACGCTTCTTTTTCGTTGTTTGCATTTCGTTGGACGAAGCTGCTGTGCGCTTTCTACAAACAAAACAAAATTAACAACTATTTAGTAAATATAAATTTGTAATACAATATCAGTTATGATAAAGTGCGAAATGTATTTACTTGCTGTAAGGCGCACCGTACATATGCCTGTGTGTGTTTTTCGTTATGGTCATCCAATCTTAAGCAGCTCATCTACTGGGAATCTTTGACTGAAAATCTGCTGTGTTAAATGTATTTTGTCATTAGAAGATAAGAAGATGGGAGTAGTTGACAAAGGTTTGGATAGGTTATTTTGACGCTTAGAATAACGGTTGATAAAGCTGTGACAAGCTACAGCAGATTCCTATACAATATTCGAATAGAGGGATAAGTTAAGTAGAGGCTTTATTTAAATAAGGGAAGTTTAATTTTGTAAGAGCATGGTATCGTGGCTCTGTGAACAGGTTGATATGTCGAATAATTCGATACGAGGGTAGTCTGACAGATTTTCGGCCTAACAAGGAGTTTATTGTAATATAAAAGTAGAAGTATGTTCTAACCTTTCGATCCTTGAATAAAGGTCAGCTAATCATGCTACTTACGTCCTCAAACGTTGATGACTTGCTCGCTTAAAAAGTGGGAACAAATATGTGGACTATAGTTAAACTTATTACAATTTTGCAACGGAATTAGTATGTTTGTCCCATTGTGGCTGTCCTGTGGATTCGCATTTTGGGTGCGCTCGCATCTCATGTAAAATACATTAATAGGTGTTTTCCTTCGAGCTCGACACACAAAAAAAGATTGCACTGAAATATTTTAAAAATTTACATGGTACATATTTGTTTTTGCTCCGAGTACGATTTTTGGTGCTGCGAAGAACCCTTTAAAAAAAAAAACAAAAAAGAGAAGAAAACGCTGAGAGCTTGAAAAGGCATTTGCAGGCATCCAAATTTCGGGTGTCCATTTAACGCGATTGCAGAACTTTTTAATTCCTACAGCGCACGAAGAGGCGAACTCACTTTGTCTTTGGGGTTTGTCTTTGCGCTTTTTTATGCTTTGAACGTAGTTTACATAACAGATGTGACCAGAATAATTAACAATGCTCGGCTGCCAAGTGACCCAAATATTATGACTCCCAGGACGCAGGACGCGAGTACCACAAAGTTCCAGTTTTTGCTGACGCTGGACGAGCGACTAGCATTCTGGATACTTTTCTTGGCGTTAACTTTGTGTTCGGACGGCTCAAACTCAAGCGCATTAATATTGCAGAGCGTGACAGCCTCCACTGCCCGCAATGTCCGTTCGAAGAACTTGGCCATATGTACATAAAGACAAGTAGGTATGTAGGTATATGTATGTATGTATGTACACTGTTACCTTCGCTGCTTATTCCATATTCATATCCGACTGTTCGCTGTACCGAAAAAAGGAATAAAATAAAAAGTGCGTTAGTTATGTCTGTCATTTCTTCGTAATATCCTGATTGCTGAAAGAGGTTCCATTGCGCATTTGCAGATGGGTAGCGTACAGATGAGCTGAGAGCACTAAGTGCACACTGTAGACTACGGAATATGCAGTACAGAGTAGTAAAGATTATGAAGGACAAAGTTTAAGGTAACGTTTATAGACTACATGGCTTAAAGGGTAATATATTGTAGAACAGTAGCTGAGTTGAGAGGACTCTGTGTGCAGAGTACACAGCGAAGAGTACAGAGTATAGTGTAGTTAGTAAGTTTTTTGCAGTGAAAACCAATTGTTCCGCTGGTTGGTTCTGCAGGAGACGGTTCGATAAAGTTGGAGGCCAGCCTTGAGTAGCAAAAGTCAATCCAGTCCCACGTGAGGCACCAGCTGCAAACGTTGAAGTTTATCGGATATACGGAAACACAAACACACACACGCACACACACACACAGATCCAAACACACACACACAGACTAAATGGACACACAAATGGGGGCGTTAGCTCAGTTGCCATAATAAAAAAAGCAAAAAGAAGAACCTGCCAAAGATAAGACGAAGAACCAAACGTTTATAAATTGGTCGCTAGTATGGGATCATATGGATAATAACGGGGTGGTTGGGCAGCTTACTTTCTGGCGGCAATCAGCGTAGCCGCCAATTTAGATGTCGGGAATTTAGGCGGCGTATATAAGAAATGTGTATAAATATTTTCAAAGGAGCAGCGGGCCGCAGTAGGCAGCGCAATGCTTCCCATTGGATACTACTGCGTATTGTTGTGAGGCAGCTCGTGTAATTTAATATGCATAAATCGATACCGAGGCTCCCTTTACATGAATGTACATTCATGCCCACCCCACCTATTCGCATCCACATCTACACTCACACCCACACATACCCGCAGCCAGACCCACTCCACAGCCCGCTCTATAAAAGCCGCGCATTGGCGTGCTTCACTCGTATTGTGCTGTTTGTATTCTATTTTCAGCGCAAAATTTGTTGTTTGTTTTTTTTTTATATATATTTGGTTCTGAAGTACGCATGTATGCGTGCCATACACACACACGCATATATGCATACATATGCGACTTGACTGCTGTGCCTTTACACACATACATATATATTACACACAACTGCTTATGTACGAGGGTACTTTGATAGAAAGTTAGCAAAATTAAAGGGCATTTTTTTTTAAAAATGTATTAATAAATATAAAACAAGATAATAATAATAACAAAAATAATCATTTATTAATATACATTAATTAAACCTATTTGTTTTTAAAGCAGACTAGGGAGAAAGATAAAAGAAAATAGAAAGTCAATAAATTAGTGTAAAAATCTTTCGAACTACCCTCGTAGATATGCCTACAAATGACGTACAATTGTACGAGTGTGTACGTGCGCGCGTGTGTGTGTGTCTCCTTTAGGTTTTTGCATATCTACAAGTTATGTTTTGTCATACAGTTAACATTTTCCGCAGATAAGCTTTTCTGCCACATGGCGCTTTGTTGTATCGCAAATAATTTGAAAAGCCATTTTATTCAATTTCAATCGTGCTTTGCCGCATTGACTGGCTGTAAGATGGAAGTTGGAGGTGGAGGCGGAGGATGCTGAGTAGAATGTGTGTGCGAGAGTGAGTGTGTTTGTTTGTGGATGGCTTAAACTAGCGACTAAATAAGCACATTTTACAATAAGTTCAAGCTAAGCGGAAGCATTAAAACTAGACCGTCAGGCAAACAGTTGGCAGACATATTGATATCCCTGATAAATACTTAATAAAAATCCACTTAAGTACCGGGCTTACATTACAATTTTTGCTCAAATTGTATCCTACTTTAAGCCCACCAATTGTTCAGGCAACTTTAGGTCGATGCAGTGAAGTGAACGTAACCTTTCCCATTCACATAATCAAAGTATTAACTTCTTTTGCCAATATGTCAATAATTTGCATAAATGGCTTGTGAATCAATTCAGTCTCTTGCTAAAATTGATTAATTTTGATAACGAAGCCAATTATGAAGCATTGTTCCCTACGAACAGCAGCTTTTGCATGGAATATATAAGAACCAAGATGAGAGGGCGCAGCAAATTGGCTGTCAAAATAGGTTAGCTAGCCGCACTCCGAGCCGCTTTGCTTGACCCCAGATGCATATTTTGTAGTCGATTTCAGGGCACTTACCACAAATTTGAATCATTAACAATGCAAACGACTTATTGGGCGGACGCTGGTGCCGTGGTGCAGCGGAAGCTTCAGGGCATTTGGAAGAGTTTTTGTGCTGTCGAGGCAAATCCTGTGGCCATCTATATATACGTACGACTCAGTATGGCACACACTCACTGGCCCACTCGTACACAGAAAACCTAGACAAACTTGGGTGTTTTTGAAAAATATTGACACGCAAAGTTTGTGCAATCACCAAACAAATTACTTCATCAATTTTACAAAACAACAAAAACGTAAGATCTTTTAAAAAGTTTTCTACCAACCGGGCACCGGCACGAGGCCAGGGGAGGCGGGAGAAAGCGAGGCGAAACAACGAGTTGAGTGGGGTCCGGAATAGCGTGCCGCAAGGCCAGAGGAGGGGGCGACGAGCGAAAGTTAGACGAAGCGAGGCCTTTGCTCACGCCCCGGACACAGGCCCAGATGTTGGCCCAAAAGGCGGCTAGGCCATTGTTGCTTGACATACGCACCAGGATCCAAAGTTCTGCGGGCAGGCTTGTCGCATTCCCTCTGCCCGCAGCCCGCTTGCCACTGCCCGCTGCTCGCTTCCCGGTCATCGCTCACACACTTTGCACTGGGCTAAAACACAACAAAGCCAGCTGTAGGAAAGTTTGCAACAAATTGCTTATGTTCTGACATAGACCCATAGAGAAGAAGACACCCCCCTAACGAATAGTCACATACAAAATGCGAAACAATATTCGTAGGCACTCCCCGAGCCCAGAGTCCAGAGTCCAGAGTCCAGAGTCCAGACATGCGCTGGAACTTGTTAATTTTGACCAGCTGTCCCAGTTGTCCCAGCAGTAAACCAGCTATGCGCCGACGACGACGACGACAATGACTGTGGACGACGAGGGCAAGTGTAACGACGAAGTTGTCGGTCGAACGGTTGGCTGCTCGTTTGCCTGTCTTACAAATGTCTGCCTGCTCGCTCTCTTGAAGGATGCTGTTGGAACTTTAAATTGGCGCTTGGCAAGCAAAAAATGCTGCTTTTGCATAAATAAAATGCCCACAGTTAGATAGATTGGCTGCCAGGCGAGCTGCCTGCCTGCCCATGGAACTTGACTAAAAGCGTTTCGCTTGCTGGACAGCAAATTACGAATGACCCGCCCGCCCAGCACTTGATTTTTAGATTACAACTGCTGCACTGCACTGCACTGCATCTGATCTTCTGGCTGACTGGTCTGGATGCATTTGGCAAGTGCACTGCTCAGGCGTGGCCCTATTGTGGCGTGTGTGGATGGCTTGCCATTGTTTCAGCTTTAAGTCTCCGGCGACGTTCAGTGTGCTGAAGGCCTATCAAAAGTGCATACCAAATTTCCATTTTACCTCGTTTACTCAGTTCTCGACGCTCGCAGTCTAAACAAATTTGGGCCCTTAAATAAAATAACGCAAAAGTGAAACGGAAGCAGACCCCATTTCTGCTTGGCCTTTCAGCGAATGAAAAGTTCATTTAATGTTTCGTTTCGTTTCGTTGTG